TACCCTTAAAACAGTTCTTTACCTCCTTCATATTACATTTTCTTTTCATTACAGTCAACAAAACAATGATGAATTTCAGTATACAATGATATAGAATATTCATCGCTGTTACCATATTACGCCGCCAGCCGGTAACCCAGTTTGATGAACGCGATGACATTTGTAATTATTGGCTATTTTGTTGTTTTTGCCGCAACGTATACGTCGCACATATCGTTGATGGTTTATTCAGTCACAGCACACTCTCTGCGAACGACACGTCGCCTATATAGCCATTGAGCGTATGACATCTTATGCAGTAAAAGGTCGCAGAGATAAACTATGAAGTGAAGGTTACGATAATAATTATTACGCGATAACGCTTGATGTTATACTTTTATAACGCCTAGCACAATATACATTAACTGTAACTTCTACTCTAATTAAAACTAGATTTATTAATGATATCTTCATAGGACTGAAAAAAGAGAAAACCTTGAAAAGGCAATAGGATATGAATCGTGGTTCGCTGTAATTGTATCCTGCCCAGTCTTCCGGTTGACGCTAAATGACCTCAACTCGTTACGATCATCTTAATTTCATGTGAAGCGTGTAATTAAAATAGATACGTAATATATAGTCAGTAACCGTTTCTTGTTATTTTTTGTCTAGCGGAAAATTAGGCACGAGCAAATGTTCTGCGACATCGATAATATTGGTAGCTGGTTTACCTTCTGGCAAAGAAAACCACAGAGAGTGTACTCATTTTTGCTTTTCGCGTTCTGCGTCCGATACTTACGCTATTGTTAAGCGTTGTTTGAGACGGCTGTCTGTTGTTAGCAAAGCGCGAGTTCAGCAGGCGAACGCGTTGCCCTTTGCGCTGGATGGAATGAACAGAGCCAAAGGTTCACATGTCGGACTCCATTAAATATAAATTTCACATACTATTCCATTTAACACGTATAGACATAAACATGTTCAGAACCCTGATTTAACCTAATATCGAGGTCGTTAGGTTTCTTGATCCTGTCAGAAGTGTATTTGTGAGTGTGGCTACTTAGGTACTATTATAACACATTGTATGTCGATCTTGTTCTATTCGAGTGTCACGTACGTACATGCATAGTTAGCAGAGTTTGTGCCTGCTATAGGTTTTCTAGTTAGGACATGATTTATCCGGAAATGTAATTCGCTGGATGACGAACGAGTGAGCCAAATGACATTTAATAAATAGTACAATATTCGTTTCGACATTTAAACAGGTACTTTTTAATAAGGCTCTATTTAGAGGGACCGATGAAACAGAGCAACACCGAGTAAGTATTTCTCCATAAAAGGACAAATAAATGCATATTGGTCCGATGAGACCAACGCGATTTGGTCGAAGAACATTATGAATCTAGTTGAAGTTTTGCCACTGAGATAGAGAATAGTATGTTGTGGAAAATACACCTTAAATAATTGTAAGTTATTTTTGCGTAATATACTAAGCTTGGAGAGGCTATGGGTTCGTGGAAGGTTTATCTGAACAGCACCAAAAGGCATGCAGACATTTATAAGCGTACTCTATTAAAATCAGAAAGGAAACTTTTGTTTGTCACGCCTAAATGCGTGCTTAAGGGCTTTTCGAGAAAGCTCATAAAATTATGTGAATCATAACGCAATCGGCGAAAAAAAAACGAAAAAATCATTCAAAACTGTCTACTTAGTCTTGAAAAAGGATAGAGATATTACCGCTATGGCCAAAACGAGGCATGTTATTCGACAAGTACAGAAACAATTTTTTTTTTGTTATTCTTAATGTTTGTACAGTCTAATGCTGGGCGTTATTAAGCCTATTCCGATGAATACGTCAGCTATATATGAACTTTACGATCTCTTTCATTGGGGACATTTGGAGATATTTCGATTGTAGGAGTTGAAACAATTGCCGTCTGTCAATTATAGTTTTATAGACTGTTCTAAACTCGTAAATGTTTAATGCGATGTTTATTTGTGGCGTCCGTTTCCTGTTTAACAACAAGCCAATACGCAATTTGTTTTACACTATTATCATTTTGATCATTTTTTCATCAGGTTTTGTTCGATAACGTACATTTCGAGTCAAAATTATCAACACTCGCTCGAGACGCGCTGTTCCAAAGCTTCTTGGATTTTTGATAAATAAAGTTGGAAACGTGAGCAGCGATATAATGCAGAGTTAAATTGGTCAGTGCTTGTAATTGAATATGAATACACTAGTAGACGTATTTAGGACACAAGCCGTATCTAAGAAGGCCGTCCTTCATGTGGTCATAACACTAACACTTGGGTCAGTTATACGATTTTGCCTTTCTAATAGAGAAAGTGTGTTAATATACCTGGACTACTTGAATATACGGTAGATAACCTATCAAACTATATCACTTGAAACGTACATATCCTAGGTTTTATCCATTTAACAACATTGTAATGTTGAACAGAGTTTTCGCTTTTCTTACATGTTATTATACGAGAATTGTACTTACTTCTAAAAAGCGACCTTTTCTTCCGCGAAGCTTGCTATATGTAAAAGCTAAAGCTTAAACACTCTCTATATGTACTCAGATTTCGTATCCGGCTTTGCTGTATAGAAATTTACAATGCTATTTTAGCAGCTCACTTATCTAGAAACGTTTACATTAATAGACAACTGAATATTAGAAGACTTCCATTACCTTGCATGCTAATGTTTGTAAGCCAGAACTGACGCCAACTACATAGGACACCGTCATTTGACATCGAGGATCGTCGATGATGACAACAATTAAATGTTGGCAAACCATAAAGTAGTAACAGGGCTGTAAAGAGTACTGCTATACCTATGACTCATTGCACCGTTTAGTAAGGAGGAAGTTAGGAGTAAAGCTCGGCCCGACCTGGACCAGACGTTCCTTTGGCGTTAATTTAGTAGTATTACACTGGTCCCTTCATATTTATCACATTGCATCGAACAACTGAAAGTACTTGTTGGTTCTGGAAAACCTAAAACAGTTGTACGTGTCTAAGAACGTACGAGTGCCTTGGGTAGTGGAAAACCAATGCTTCCCCGTAAAAAATATACTTGTATTTCGGGTTGTCATTGTTCCCTACGAGGTCGAAGTGAAAAGCGCGTATATCTCAGGAGGTCAGCGTAGCACGTTCGTATGTCGTTCGCGCAGACAAACCATACGTCGTCGACAAGCCACGTGTCAACTCAGGTCAAGGTCCCCCAGCCTTTCTGTTGATGTGCCCGTAGTTAGTGATATTTCCATGGCGATACAAAAGCCTGTCGTACAACAATGTTCATGCTGCTCCTATTCGTTACGGATAATAGGTAACGATTTTTAAGCTAACCAACTTCCATGAAATTACTTTTAACTAATACGTGTATTTGACTTGACCAATTTTGTGCGCAGAATAAATTTGAAAACATGTTTCAGCGTTGTGCGGTTCGGCACTCCAGGAGCTGCATAAGCTTGCATTTAACCAGCAGATGGAGCTCATTCTACTCGTTTCGTGATACCTTCTGAGCGCAGAATTCATAGTTAACCAGTGCTAGGCAGGGGGCAAGGCTGAAGACTTTTCAGGAAAAACCGGATACCATCAGTGCGCTGTGAAGGGCTAGCCGCACAGGGGTCTTGCGAATGCTGGCTGAACACAGCATGGCTAGTGGCGATGTCCCAATGTTACAGAGAGGACACCCCAGATTACTAAGGCAAGCAACAAAAAGAACCGAGCTTAGGCGATTGATTGAAGAATAACGACGTGTCAGTGGGTGGCGGCCAACTTCTGTACAGTCTTCAACATCATTTTAAGCATAATGTGTATATGAACAAGGTGCCAAAATAATACTCGGTCGTAGGTATATTCGTTACTCAGCGGAACACTCGCTACGCTGTTCTTTTGCCTCGCATAACCGTATGTGCCTCGTTAACCCAACTACGACGTTTTTCGCTGTATAGAGTAGGAGAAAACCTTGTAACTAGGAGTAGGGTGCCCAGGCGCTCAGGCTTTCTGGGATCCATCCATCAGTGTGCACAGATCCGCCTTCACAAACGCATGGTATTGCCAATCCATTAGATTACTTCTACTGTTCGTAACCCCACGCCTGGCAAAGCGACAGACTTGATAGTTGCCTTCGATTTTTTGTACGCGACACCTCTGCAGCAGCTGTTTTCATTATTACGCTAGTAGTTATGATTCTTTTTATGGGGATCTGCTCTGTTTGCAGCTAACCTGCAAGATGCTGTCAACATGCAGCATTCTGTGGACGTCCCGAGTTCGTCGCACCATTGACGAAAGCTCTAATGCAACAAGGAATGGCTTAAGGCATATCTGTTTTTGGCGCTGCGACTGATAACTCCGCAGAAATTAGATAACTAAGCCCTCTTTAGCCCTAATTGAGCTAGTTCTAAATTTGGTCTTATTATAACGGTAACGGCTAAGATGAATTTCAGTTTCTATTCAGCTCATGCAAGTAAACAACCGCGCACTACTCTTTCTACTGGAACTAAAAATCCTTCAATACAAACTTGAAATAGCGTTAACAATGTCAGCGATATATGTTTCGCTTGCTTATTATGCATGCAATCCAATGAAATCAATGAACACGGGCTCACCCCCAATGATACCGAAGTTTGTAGACACCTTAATCATGACGGTGAAGTTTGAGGCGCGCGGAAAAGGGCAGGAATTGCATCGAAAGCACCTACAATTGTCTTCCAAATCGACACTGGCCCTTAGAGATGAATGGGGAGTGATTTCAGAGTGTCTGGGCCCTGTACGTTTTGCTGCGTTTAGAACATTCTGTCTCGATGCAGGATCATGGCTACAGATCGCTGTTGGGGGGTAAGCCGTGTTCAATATGGTGTTCATATGTAGTCACTGTACTTTTGTCATGCTTCCCCTATAAGGACTTTTGACTTCGGGGTTAATTTTAAAGCTTGAAAGCTCTCAAACGAAAACAAAAATTTAGATCTATGCTAGCAACAAAGAAAGAAACTGTCGTAATCTACAAACAGACTTCTTGCAGTCGGAACGTATGTCTATGCAAACAGATGCTTTGCGATCATACGTTCAACTGCTAATTAAGCCTTTGACTTTTTATTTCGATGGCTCTATTAGTTAATGAACGTAGAAATTTTAGCCCTAACAAAACAAAAATACTTGACCACCTCTGAATGTGACACTGTGTTTGCCCCGATACGGAAGCAGCTGTCTGGTACCACGGAACAGCTCTCTATTATCAGTGAGAATACTAACAATAGTTCTGAACTCAAAACTAGTTTAAGGATCCTTTAACTTAGTCTATAAACCAAAGATATCTAGTTACATCTTAGCACTTTACAGTAATACAAATAACAACGCCTTATTTTTCTGAAGAGGGAATCTTTGTCTTTGACAAAACCTACGCCACGTCCGTATTGTTGCTAAATGATGTGTAAACTTTAAACAAGCCCCGAAGATCAGCTATGCAGGTTGCAAATATCTTTTAATGTCTTTTTTCTGATAAGATGCAGTAGACTTAGGTTGGTACCTGCACTAAATATAATTAGCAAATTATCTAGTAGTGAATATTTATTCAGCGACCTAAGAGATCTCATTTCGACACTCCAGAAATTATACATATATACATTGAATAGGAACATTCAAACTGTTTTATATATTACTACGGTAGTGTCAAAATGGAGCAATGATATAACAGCAATAGCAAATAAATCTGCTTATCTATTCTCTGCCTCGCGACTTGTCTTTTATGTCTGTACAAGATGATCTAGCCATATTAAATATCGAAGTTTGGGAATGCGTGGACATGTGTTAGACATCTGTACTGTTCTGAAAACTGGTGTGTTTTGTCGATGAGAAAAATAATCTAGGGAAGATACATAGCGGAAAAATGTAACCGGGGCTAACAATAAAACTTAAATTGACCGAAGGTGGTATTCTACTATCACGCAAGTTGAGTAGCCTCCTCGTCTATATGGAAAAAAATCAAATCCTTTTGTGCCAGTCGTCACTGATCCATGTATATGTACAGGCTCAAATGAAGCTTTGCAGAGTGATACTTACACGACACGCAATGAGAGTAAGATAAACCTGATCAATTCACACGTCTTTTACATCACCTCAATCGATCACGCGAGATACGACAGTAAACTACGTTCATTCTTTTAGTGTTCAGATCTTCTGTATCCCTATTAAGTAGAAAGCGTACCGATTTAGACTTTTAGGTAACTGTTGTAAATTGTTGAAGTTAATCGAATGTTGACAATATCTCGATTTGCGGGTAGAGTTTCCATACGTTTACCGTATCGCCTTAACATGTAACTTCATTCAATTACAGAATTTCTTATTCTATTGGACATTCGTCTGCTCTCAAATAGCGCCGGCTGATTTCTCTGTGCTTCTAGCAATAGTACAAACGAACGATCAAAAAAGGATGTATGTCCAGCCGTGGCAGTGTACACTAAGCAGGGACCTGTTTGTGCAAATCACCGTCTTAGACAGAATGCGAACCACTACCGAAGGCTGGAGAGATGTGTTTGCTCTTGTTTTGGACTTAGTAGTAATGCATGTAAATCACCAGGTAATGAACACGGTCGATAGCTACTGCCTGTCGTACGCTATTTTGTGTAGTCAGTACTCTATAGAGCGTATTAAAAGAACCGAAACGGATAGGTAGGCAATGAAGAAAAAGCTGTAAGTAAGCTACATTTGAAGATCAAAAGAATCAGGTCGTCTATTCAATCACATGACGAAGTCCATTGTCGCAAATATCTCTTTCAATGCCCTTTATTTAATACTATGCTATAGAGTTGGGTTGGTATCCAGACTCAGACCAATCGTGACGAAATATTCAAGCTGTGCTCGGCCCACGTGGTCTAAATATGCTCCCACCATCGCATCGAGTCGTTCTCATTTTTTAGGTTTTTATTTGACACTTTTTTTCTTTTTTCTTCTTTTTTATAGACAAGTCCTCAGAATTACTTCTTTCAGACACGGCATCAAAGACCTGTCTTCAGTTAGAGGTCTAAACGGGGTAGGCTTTATTTGGGGTATTCTATGAGATGGCAAGGCAACCATACAAACAGCTATTGGCCTTGATAATATCAATTCCTCATATTTCTGATTATTACTTTGAGATGATCATTTTTGGTTAAAACATGAATCAGTGTGGGAGCATGTTTGTTTGTTATGGTTAGCACGGTAACACACTTCGCATAAGGCACCCAGATCATGTCGCCCCCAGCGACTTGCCATGTATTATTATACTAACACGATGCTTAACATATAATGGCGTGCTTTCTCCGATATTCGGCTATAACTTGAATTTAAATCGGCTTCACCTTATTCATGCATAATAAACAGTCAGAAAATCACATTCATACAAAGCTTTCTTCTTCTCTTGTATATATATTTACACAGGTTGCGTAGTTATGTGTCATTGGCGGAACTTGATCCTCGGTGTTTTTTAACTAAGGGCTTAGCCGTCCAGACCCCCGCGTAGGCAATATTATATATATATATATATAGAACAGCTCTTGTTTTTACTGAGTCGCGTTCGATGGTGACAACGATGCCGTTCACAATGGTGCTCCGGCCTCGGTGTTATACTTTTAGCTGCTGATCATCTGCCTCTATTGTTTATATTACAAAAATATGTACAGACGCTTTGTATATTATCGTCGCTCTCTGCAGTAGCTAACTTATTGGTTTCTCTTCGTAAACGATTCGCATACTTCTAGAAAGAAGATTATTAGGCATCTTCATGATCATGACGCCGCCCTTCGTCACCAACGGTTTCTTAATAGATGTCTCTATTTCTATAATAGGAAATGGTTTTGCCTAAATGTATCTCTGACACGTTTCTTTTACACTATCTAGCGCACCCGTAGATATCCAGAGATGGTGATGATTCAAGATCTACTGGAGCTTTAATCTTCCCCTTTTCCAGTTACCTGCTTTTGCGCAAATACATGTGAATATTTATCATCATCATCATCTAAGAATTACGTTAATAGCAATAGCTGGCTTGTTACGATTTAAAACCCGGCCCTATGCAGAGCTTCTAACTGGAGCTGAAGTCGTTCCGCCTTGGCGCTTCGTTCGTGACTTAGCGTCCGAGTCTTCATGAAGCGTTTCAAGAATTCGTCAACGCTGAGCTCCTCTGTAAAGCATAACAATGGAGCGTGGGTCGTTAGTTTACCCGCCATAGTGGACTAATGCCAACTCGTTAACAAAAAGGAATAACATACATGGGTAACAGGGAAAAGTTGCTACGTTTTACTTACTACAATAATTATAAATGAGGATAGCTATAATGATAAGAAAAAACAAAGCAAAACGTTTGCCCCTTAGATCTTGAATTACACAATTACACTACAAACATATATGGCTATATGTAGGCTCCGACTAGCCGCTTTTTCGAGATTAGGAAGATTTATAAAGTCACGGATTTAGAACGTCTTGAACCAGTTCAGATCTTAACGTTCATAGTGCTCAACTTTCTCAACATGGAGTGTGTATTTAGCATTTATGTAGCATTTAATTTTTATTTTATTTCAATAAATTAAAAAGCCACAGTTAGGTTTCGCACAGGTTATACTCCTAAAAGCGATCAACTTTTAACGTGAGGTTTTGATAGTATTTATTAGCCGATAATAAATTTAGCTGATACATCATGAATCGTTCATGAAATGACTATTGAAGACATAGAAACATTCAATTATCCACGAGCATTTGCATCGAAATAAATCTTACAACTAACTTTATCGTCTACGTCTTATCGGTATAGTAGACTGCTTATTATTCCTTTCCGTCACTGTTTCAGGTTAACACCTACCGTTGGGTTAACGTTTATACCTAATCAGTCTAACCACACTGATGACAGGAAAGCTAATAACAAAGAAAACGATTGCGGACCTACATGGTCACTATAGATTCGTCATCTTCGACACGACTTCACTAGTTGACGAGGCCAAAGAGACCTCTGAGCCGGAAGCCATCGGACAGCCGAAGATCGGTTAAAGATAACAAAAACCACAAAAACGTCATTCTCGTTACTGAACTACTTACTGTTTAAAAACTGCTGCGCGATTTCGTCACTCTCTTTTTCAGCCTCCCGAGCACCCTTGGCGAGTTCGTTTTTAATTGTCTCTGGAGCATAGGATCGCTCGAGCAGATGAAACTTCTGCTGCCGCGCATCAAACTCATTTCTGTGTTGAGTCAACTCCTCGTAGAGCGATAGTACCTCACCTCGTTTCTTGTCCAAGTCATTCTTTACTGATAGATTTGTCTGCAATTCAAAATATGAAATTTGAAATAATCTCTAAGGTAATAGTAAAAAAATCTAATTGGCTTGTCACAGAATTGATCGCGAAACTGGGTGGGCTTCAAAGATCCAAAAAATTAGGCTTTAGTGGAAGTATGTGGAATTATGTACACTTGACAGCAGAGGTTTGACCGTGAACAAGTTAAGTAAAAATGCAATGCAGTATTTAATTTTATCGCCGTTCTCGCTACGTTGTTTGTTCTAGTCCGACTGAGTCTAAATAAGGTGAACCCTTTGGTTTGACGATCTAAACGTTTTTCTTCCTTGCGAAAACTTACTCGCGAAAATCTTGACGCGTCACATATGTTTAAAAACGTACTACGATACAACTACTTACTTTGGCCACTGCTTCGTTGGACTCGATGAGATGTCGAATAGCTTCCTTCCGCTCACAAACATGCGGTAGATCCTCGGCGAACTCTTTGATCTTCAACTCGTCGGATGACCAGTCTCGAAGGTCATCAATCGAAAGGGCGTTTACCTGTGCGTAGATTGAACTTGAACGCAAATGGACGCCACCAGACGAATTGCCTGAAGGAAGGCTACCGTTCATATACATCGTCGTCTTTGGTCTTGCGCCAGATGCGGTGACGCTCCCGACAGCTGGAGAAAACGAAGCAGGCTCTGGCCTGAAAGGGTGAATTCGCATAAAAGTTTGTTGACGTATTAAACAAGAAAAGAGAAACCAAGTATATACATACGATTATAAACAAATGGATAGTTCGTTGAAGACTCTGCCTGGCCATCCTTTGATTGCTAAGCTTGGCAGAGGACAGAAAGAGAGCATGGAAATGCTAGCAGGCCTTTGCTCTTGGTTCCGTGAACAATCCATGTACAAGACTATTCATAGTGATGTACACATGAGTGTTGTCTACTATAGACATATGAGTAAAAAAAGGATTTCGATTAAGAAAATTGATAGGACTTTAATGAAATAAGTTGAACATTAATAGACTACGATACTAACAAGTTATGGATGTAGCAATAACGTAATTTAATCCAAGAACTTAAAAAGATAATTTTTATACCGACAAAGATGCCGAATCGACGCATGTATGTTTAGGATTGTCAACTCTAAACGAATCAATAGCTGTCCTACATGCCTAGCGAGTATTTAAGTCAAGCTTGTTAACAAAGCCGCACACTCTACCACCAAAAAGAGCGCCTATATAGGTCATCCGACCGCTCTGCTAAAGTAAGCAATTTTAATCATGATAGTTTTGCTAAAGTTGTAGCATAGCCGACAAATATCTTTAGCGCTTACAGCCAGTTTTTTTTCTATTTACGATCGCTAACCAGCAAAAATTGGCCCTTTTTTCTTCCTAAATACCCAGGCAGGGTCACTTTAGCCGATAATTACGAATCTTTGCGTTCGTTGAAAAAACTGGTATTCTCATAAAACAATTCACAACAATATTCGTTCACCGAGAATGCGTTAGGCTCAAAAATAATGTTTTCAGCCGGTAGCCTTCCATTTAGCCGATTGCCAGGGCTAACTTTTGTGCCCGGTAGTTTGTGTCCGTTGAGCTTTGCTTCAGGCGGATTCCGAGCAGAAACCGAAACAGAGTGTTTCTATGCCCGGTACGTACTGCTCTGTTTAACAGGCAAACGAGTTAACATTGCATCAGTACGGAGACTACTCTGTGATTGATTGAAAAACACAAACGTCTTATTATCATATGCTCTATGTCCCGTTATCAGTGTAACAACACTATAGCCATCCATTAGCTTGAAGAACAGCTAACATATAATCAACATTATATGTGGCCAGAAGTTTTTTTATAAACCATATCTATATACGCGTGTTTGGCATAATCGAACATCCGTGCAAGGCTATACGACATCCGTGTGACTAAATAGGGAATGTTTATTATAAGTGCAAGACAAGCTTTAAACCTTTTCCAGAAGAAAGAATTTCTACGGGAATTCGACAGCGATCTGAGATATAAAATCGATAGCGGCCTTGATGCTGGAGAGAGAACTGCTTCTCTTATAAAAAAAAAAAGTTAGTGATGACCTAAAAAAGCCAAAGTGACACGCACTCGAAGCTTGCTACCAATTCTACGGAGTAGTTCCCAAACAGCGTCCGGAGCCAAAGTCGTGATAGTGACGAATCGTACTCGAGGACGCTTCGAGCGTCGGCCAAAGGCTAAAACGAGCACAGATGCAGGATGGGACGCAATGACACGAACATACCCTCCATCGCAAACAGCAAAAGATAATTTTTCTTGTAGCGTGAACAGGAATCATCGGGATCACACATTGGCCTACTGCACAGGATATAAAACGCTCGTTGTTTGAATATTAAGTAAGAAACAAGGAAAACAGTAAGATAGATGAAAGGCTTTTAGGCATTTTCGTTGAAGTAGAGACTTCCTCCGTAAAGCGAGCAAAGTCAGCTATTAAATTAGCCTAAATTTTGCCACTTGTACCCCGCGCGGCTAGCAGTTGCACTAAATTGTGATAAGAGCACATCAGGTTGACGACATTTGGCAAGAGGTTTCGGAGAGGTGTATGTACGAATGCGTATCGATCAGAGCCCAATTTTTCAACCCTTTTTTTTACCATTTCCAAACAGTGATGACTACATATAGTGCCAATTCAATGACCTAAATACATCCATATAGATTCAACGCAGACAGCAGGACCGGTGAATATTAGGATTGCACTGAGCAACAAGTAAATAGATTACTAATATGAAGAAGGTCCTTGACCTAACCCTTAATATATGAATATCATCTTAATGTGGTTTATATATATATATATTTTCTTTTTTTTATATATATTACATATTTATATAGATTAAAAACATCTAAATTTATTAAAATTTAATTGTGAAATAAATTTATATTACCTCTCATAAATTTTTTAAATTGTTATGTTATATCTTATTTGTTATCAATTTGTGCAGTGATCATCATAAGTGGCAGGGCAATGTTGATCGTCATTCTGGCATCGTGGTCAGACAACTCGGGATGCAACAAATGAATGACTCTACAATTATTTTACGTCAGTTCTACAATGGAGCCGAATAGACAAAAGCTATCTAGTTTGCCTATTTATTTCACTAATCGCTACTGTTGTCATGACAACGACACATTGTTGCGACAACGTCTCTAAACTAACTGGGGAGGATATAAACGTTTCGTGGACAGTATGCAAGCTAGTTTAACGGTGGAAACAATTCAGATCGTACTAAGTGGACATTATTTTCAACGAGTTTGTTCATAGATTGCGAAGTTGGATTGAGAGATACTTGATTCTAGAGATGTTTAGGTGCAAAATTCGTATTGCTTGCTACCGGCTCGAAAATTAAAATTGGTACATATAATGTAGTATATGCAGTACATGTGACAAGTACTCGAGAGTAAACGCGACCGGTGTCATACAGATACTGCTCACATTAGAAGCAAGCCCAGTACGGAGACAGGTAATTCAACCCACCTTCAAAGGCGCTAATACAGATACCTAACACGACCAGGCACATACGGCATCATCGAAACTGATCTTGTTGTCCGTATGTTACAAGCCATTTTTTTCCACCGGTCAAAACAGTACATTATGCTAAAACGAGCACTATTAAAATAGTAAAGCCGAAATCAATTTATTTTTAAATTATGCGTCAATTAGCGTTTGCTAACACGACTCATGCTAGGAGGTTAATCAATTCAGTCGTGTGTCAAGCTAGCAGCTACAAAAAGTAAACGTGTCGTTCTATACTTATACATTTCTGACGGAAAGAAAATTAAATGTGTACTAACCGTTTAAGTAGCGGTCTGGTGATAAAATCAGAAAGGACTTGCTGAATTATGTCAGGTAAGGAAGCGTGAATTGAGAAAGCTGTCAAATCAGCCAGTCCACAAACTGTAGAAGTATCGTCCAGTAGGGGATGTTCTGCCGCAGGTCGAACTGACAGCGTTGGCCCTTCGAAGGGAAAATTCGGTGGCAAATTACTGTACTCAAGAAAAATCCAATAACAGTTAAATGTTGTTAATTCATTCACTGACTGGAAATAACAATGACATCGTGACATTGATCTGCGACCTATTCTGACTTTATTATTCCTAGCCCTTAAGGATTCAATACTAGCTTAGTCCTCGTTAGCCATAAAGGGATAACTACTGTTTCAACGACGTTTTCATTTTGTGGTCGTTTTTTACCTAACGCAAAAGCGGTACAGTCCGTAAAATCCTTCGTTAGTAAGTCATGAAAATAAACGCCACTAGCTGTCCTATTAAAATTCTGTCATTCCACGGTTAATCAACCCCCATATGCTAACAGCAATGCAATTTATTACATATTGACGTTAGCCATTTTCTCCAAATTGTCGAAAATTTTTTTCATACAGAGAGAGTTGTCGAAGCCAGTTTAACTTAACTAGTCGTTAACCTATTCTAACTAAATTGATAACAAGTCACCAAAGCATTCCTATCAAGACATCTTTCGATGCCTACGCAGATCTTCTCAAGCGAACCGTACAGGCTACCAAAACTAAATCATTGTCTACCTTCACCCTTTTTTTTACCTACATGAATAGCTGATACTCGATCCCGGCGCAGCTGAAAGCTAAGGTGAACTCCGACTCAGGGACACGTTCCTGAATGCTGTAAGAATACAGATGTGTTCCACATCACGCACACACATAATATATAGAGAGTGTTAATAAAGGCTAATGTTTGTGTTTATCATTTTGTCTGCGGGACAAGTCAGTGTTTGGTGCGCGATGGACAAAAACTTGAAACTGCCGGTTGTGCTCAATGTCACGCTAAAGAGAGTGCGCAAATGGAAACGTCTCATTAATTTACTTATATTAGTTCAGTACAGATATGTTAGTACAAGCGCAGCACTGACTTAAAGCTGATATCCGTACAACAAAACTTGTTGGAAATCTTCGTCATAAAAATAACTCCTATGTATAAATCGGAATAGTGTGAAATCATTAAGCCCCTAATTGTTGCGCTTAACCTTACGTGCGGCGAGCAAAATTTCAACGAATATTATCTGTTAATAATATACGGAAAGGAAGACACGTAAACACGAACAAGTCGAACGGTGACACTGGAAATGCTCACGACGGCCGAAAGTCGCAAATGTTATAGATGCTAACTAATCCTATTTGTTTTATAATATTGCCGAGTGAAGAAAATAAAGTAACTATAGCTGCAAGCGAGCATAAATTCCCGTGTCAATAGGCTTAAGTCAGATCACTTGTGTTATATAATATATAACGTCGCTGTTATGCAGCAATCGAAAGTAAGGAATGACTGTACCTAATTGTCGACGTTATTTCACCAAGATTTTATAGCACTGTCACTAAATGTCGGTTCTAATTACAAAGACAAAAGAGGACAATTGAACGGAGCGGAACAGAACCAAACAGTAACAAAATGTATACTAAGCAGTAGGAAACAGAGGGCCGAAGCCGACACAAAAAACTGAATGCACAGATGTGGAGAATGAATTAGTTTAATCCAATTTAGTAAAAAATAAATTATAGCAACATTTGAAAACGACCATCCGCATAAATAAACTTGTCTTTTAGGAACGACCTTTATCTATAGATCAGAATAAAGTTGCTCTATTCTACTATTAATTAACCATTGTTGCTCCATAAATCCAAATATCTTTCCAAATACCTAGTTACAAATTTATTGATGTCCAGTACAAGAAAAGCTTCAGGCCTGTATCGGATCGTAGAGATTTTGTAACATTTGCTAGCCGCCATTTATCTATTGATTAGAAAGGAATTCAAATCATGTTTTAAATTTTGTGGACTTTGGAACAGAGGATGAGATTAACGTCAATTGTGCATTGCGAGGTGTGCAAACACTTATCTAGATTGGTGACAGCTAGCGTATTGTGCAGTGTTCATATCCTCGTCAGTCTCAATCGGGACTTGAATACGCGCTCTAAACGTCATTGAGGGCGTACAAATTCCAAGAAGGGCTCGACTAATAGAACAGTAAGCAGATATGCTATAATTAGGGACAATTTCAATTATAGCTAAGCCACACTGTACTACTTAGGACCATGAAAAAGGTATTAGGATAGCATTTTAGCGACTAGAGAGAAACGTGCCCATTGGTTTAAATATCACTACCGACGAGGGTATGATAGGAAAGTATGAACAGCACTTTATTATATTTATTAAAAACGCATCAAGTCATTTACTGACCAACTCTGAGTAGCAACTAGCCAATAGCCCTACACTAACTGCTCTTCAATATCTTCAACAGAATGTCTTCTTACCATGACGACTCGCTCGAAAGCGATCACCGTTCTAGCACGAACATAATATCGCCAACGTGTCATTGAAGCAACGAAATTATACACGGTATGATGGTTTAAGATGCAGAAATAGTAACGTCAAATTAATCAACAAGTTTTCGAGAGTGACAATAGGGAAACGGAATCACAGGAAAAAGAAAGGATAAACAGCCAAACGTCTAAAATATATCAAACGGCTAAAGCCAAATCACTTGGAGCATCGCGAACAAACAACGATGCTCAAATAAAGACAGCATAATAAGAAAAAACTAGGAAAGAACATATGAGTTAAGATAAAAGCTGGAAACAAAATTTCCTGCAAACTTAAAGAATACGTGTGTTATGCTAATCAAACGCACGAATACTGACAGAATAAGTAAAATTTCTTCATAAAAGTATGAATAAATGTACATTGATGATGAATACACGCCGCTCCGTGATAAAGATTGTAATGTCATAAGCAATAGGTATAATAGTGGAACACAACTGATCGTTGATAAATTACCGATGATAATTATAATTATTACTAACTCTACGATATAACATTATATATATATATATATTTCTTCAAGTAAACGTTATTTCGTTTCCCGGTTATGAATAGGAATTGTTCCCATTCCGCGCACCCTTTAGCCATGTCGCTATTCGAATTCCACAGTTTCAGTTGTGACAAGAATCGACTCGCTGTGGGAACAAATAATAGTTAAACTTTTTTTAAGCGTATCCATAAGCCTAGAACGTTTTCCAGCGAATCAATTTCGATCGAGAAAATCGCATAACTGTACAAACTTTAAATTTCAGTTCTCATCTCAAAATCTAAGATCTCCAAATTATCCGACTACTTACATAAAATAAGCGCCATTTTACATCAAGTGGACAAAAAACTTCTGCTTCTAAAGCCTGCTTTATGGATTGAGCCCGAACAAACTTTCTTTTCCAACGATATCATAATATACGGCAGTGCTACAATATATATATATATATATATATATATATATATATATATATTGTAGTAAAGTCGAATTCAATAACCCAATAAAAATAGATAATTTTTATTACAATAATAGGTAGACAATGTAATTTTTTTTGTTTTTCCTAATAATTAATCATTCCTAGCACCATATTTATTCTCAAATATAAACTTACGTGAAAATAGCTGTAAAATTGAATTATCTGCGCCTGCCCTACGTTGCGACACTATTGATCGTGGAAATAATTATTCGGTATGAAAAAGTCCTCTGCACCACCAAATTGTTATATAAAACAGAAATCAATTTAGGCTTGACATTCGAAAAAGTAAGCTGATCTTGAAAGGACTGGGATAGCATAAATAACCGCACAGAACACTTCGAAACTAATCCTCTAAAGGGTCGTAGAATTCAGTAGACAAAGCATTTATTCCGATGAGATCATTTTGATAAAAGTGATTTCGCATATACATAATTGTGTAAAAAATATTGCTCAGATTCAGTAAGCGTACGCGCGTTCAAAGTTAAGTGGATGCAGAGAGGCGCATGTTCTTTACTTAAACATTTCCATTTTAATAAAAATGGCTATTTGAAATGAAAATACATTTAAATTTTAACTAAGCACGTTTGACTCTTCTGTACAACACAGGTCCTCAGTCTCCCAACTCGAACAGCATCCTCTACAAAATGACACACGTATCGAAATCATATCTGCAAAGTCGCTTTTTTCTCACGACTTCTAGCTAAAAATGTCGGCGCCCCATGCAACTGCTTGGAAAAAATGGTTTGATTATTAAACTCTATCATATCCGAAAGGATTGACGTCAAGTGTTGTAACATTTTTGTATATTTTTGTAAATACAAAGTATCATTTGACATGAGTGAAGTAAAGAACACATTCGTCGCAGCGTGGCCTACCACAACTCGTTATCACATCACCCTACTGAATGAGATTTTCAGGCAGGTACAGAATATTCGAAAAAATATACGAACCACATAAATAATAGCATATACCCATGCGTGTTTCACGGTTTAACCTAACCTAACTTGTCACGACTGGCATTCACGTATCGTTCGCAGTTAGGAAACTCTTAGGATACGTGAGGATTTCAACACTTGACCGGCATGGTATAGCAAGACAAGAGAGAAACGGTCGTATTCACATATACATGGTGTGCGTACAAGCACTCATATAAAATGGCATAAGAATTTAAGTATGTGCGCGATAGATGCATACATCATGCATTTTAATTTCGCTTTATCAGATTTTGAAACACTGGGTTTAGCTTTCCAACGACACGCCTGAAGCCAAATGTGCAGATATATATGGATCGAACAATCATCGGAGCTACAGACGAAACCACTGTTCTCTCTAATAATCTACCCTCACAATTGGCTATCCTGACAGCGCATGTTGAATTTATTAAAAAGTTTAATGCAATAACACTGACGTAAGCCGCTCATATACTCACACAGATGCTTGATTTTTTTAGGGAGTTAATCCACGAAAGATTACGTCTAATGTTTGAAGTCTGACCGAAACAAAATTATAAAATGAGCACTATTCCATTGACATAATTCGGAAAGTTCTATAGCTAAAGCAATGCCTCATGGTTGAGCAACAAATCGTTTCGTTGCAGAAATACGGATTTTAGAGGTATGTGGCCACTATGAATGAATCGTTTGTCTCAAATCTCTAATAATTCAATACCTAAGTGTGGTAAAACAATACATTTTACTGTAAAATGTATTTACAGACCAATTCTTTTCTTTAAGTGATCAGAAGTGTTTCGCCCTAAGCTAATTTTTAACCAAGAAATTCTATCAGTTGACTTCGAGATGTATTAAAACTAAAAATTGATTCATGTACGTTCTTCAAATAGAGTATTCTGCAGTTAAAGGTCAGTGAAGTTCACAGCCATGATAAAACTGCTAACAAATAGTGATGCTTTTATCCTTTCGATAACTTAAAGAAAACTCCTTACTATTCCCAACAATCCTCAATTAGAAAGATGACTATATTAGACAAGTTTTGAGCTTAACATCATCGAGCGAGCTGTATGCAGTGATCTGCCTTTGAAACTTGCCCTGATTATAAATGGTTATCAACCGGTTACGATCTCTCTCCACTTAATTTCTTTTTATTTCACAAAACGGCGATTGAAGTAACTTCACCGATTTCACTGACAAAAATGTAGACCGCTTCCAGTTAGCGTGCTTCTATCTGAAACTGTGCAAATCTCGTAATATTAAAGAAAAGCTGCAGGGATTATTTGCGAAGCGAAACGTTTCAATCTGCCTGATATAACAAAATAGAATAATATCCGAAAACTAATTAACAATTTTTAAAATTTCAGATACCGTGTCTGTTGGAACTTTCTTTTGTTGCAATCTAAAAGATGGTTGAAGCAATGCTTCTCTATTTAGGTCAGATAAGAGCCAACCAGTCAACCTGGAGTCGATTAAACAGAATCGTAATACATAGCTTTGTTGCTTTTTTCTCGACACTAACGATGTTTTGCTCCTAACGAAGGCAAGATGGCTTTACGAATGAGACCAGCAGTATAAAAATAACTGAAGGCGGCTACGGATTGTCATCAAATTAAAATTATGTTATCTAGTAGATGAAATACTATGTATACATCAGTTCACCTTTGAGGTTAGTCAACGCACAGCTCCTGTTTATCCGCCTCGACGCATTTTATATCCATAATAATTTTTTACAAGTTCAATCCGAGCAATTACTGCCTTTGACTGAATGATGTCACGCCAGGGGACCAGATCAGGTGAACCATAGCGAATGCCAGTAATACTCTGGTGACGTTTACACACCGATTCCAAAGGTACCTAGATAGCGATCACTGGCCCTTCTCTTGTTGCAAGGATCTAACTAACCGATATCGTTGGAAAATATCACAAACGACGTACCATATATAAAGAATAATATCAATTTGTCTAGTATCAGCTTCACAGTATGCAATGTTAAAGGCCATAGACAAAACAAAGAACCAGGCATTGCAAGGTAAAATCAAAAATCGCATTCGACTATATCTACGAGTTTAACCACCTTGAACACGTAATTAGATGAATACAGCACAGAATGAAGGTTAAATCCCCTTAAGTTAATGATAGCTCACAGTTGCAGTTAACTTTCCACTATCTAATGCAGTTAGAAGTACAGAACAGATCTTCGGCTTTGTACGCCGACACGATACTATAATGCGCACCTACCAACTACCGCACCAATTTCATCACTTGCTAAGTCACCTCTCTACAAGCTAATTGTTTCGCTTCTAGTTGATAGTTAGAATTTCATTATGGTTCGTTCTAGTAATGCATGTAGAAAATCCTAGGACAACTCACCCAGGACAACGATCCTTCAGTTCGTAGATCTTATGCTTGCGCACCTCTTCCGGGCCGTTTCCACCTGATGTGCCGCTAGGCACCGAAGAACGTTTCGCGCTTCGAAGCATGTTAACAAAGGCTTTTTGCTCTATATCACAGGGTTGCTTATTTTCATCGAATGACGGAAAGCTTGCTCCTGCTGCGTGTCCATAGACTCTTCCGTATCGTCTTTATTATATAAAGTGCTGCCCAGAAGGCCAGCAACAACAGGATATGGGCGTACGCTGACAACCGTTTTTACTGTTGTTATTCTGCGTTTTGCGTACCATACACCCAACTTTCACACATACACACACAATCGTCCGCGAAACATATTGCGAGACGCCCTAATTCCTCTCGCATGTAGCGAGTCTCCCTTGAATAGTTATGTTCAGATATGTTTGCAGCACAATCTCTAATCGACAAGAGACAGCATAGATCTCCCAAACCTGAGTAAAAAAAGACTATTTCGTCTTTCTTTTTCTATCCAAAAAACCCTATTTACAGCTTTGTTTATTTTCCCTTCAGCAACTGTACCAGGCTTGTTACAGTACTTCATTCCGATTTACGACTGGTTATTATCGTCAACGTTGTTGTTGTTCGAACAAGCATATAAAATTTGTTAATTAATTAGGATGAGAAAGTTGGATCGTTTACGTTCACCTGAGTGTGCTTCAGATACGAGCTACTGCTGCTCAATTCTGCATCTCCAATTCAATTCTCGTTTCTTTCTTCCTCCCTCTTCTAATAAAAGTTCAATGTGCTAGCAACTAGTGGTGACGCCCAATGTATGAACGAAGAGGTATAGTTACGACCGCGATTTGCTAGCGACAAAGGTGCCGACAGCTGGCATTACGGACCCCCAGCTGTAGCAGCATCCAGCAGCAACATTACTACCGATGCACGAGTTTTTAGGTGTTCTCACTTGTCTCCGTTAGTAAATTGTTTGTTAATGAAACGAATATTGCTTACGTCCACTTCGACTGCTACGGGCTATTACAAACAGAGAGACTCGCATTTCCATACACACTTACATTCACCAGCACGACGCACACGATGGGTATCGTACTGCTTACAATTATTTGGCTCTCCTAATCTACGAATTCTATTTCCTAATGCACCTGCAAACCGTAACTATAATTACTAACTAACGAATTTTTCTTCTCTACGCAACTTCGCCCATTTAAGACAACGATGCTGACTGAGTTACAATGAATCACGAACACCTAATCGAACAAAACTCACACCGACCCCCAGCGCCATTTTGTCGTCACTCCGTTCACTTATCCGTAGAATTCGCTCGCTTGATCCTCAGCCAACCACCTAGAACGCAATGAACATTAATTGTTGGCCTCTCGAAAGCAAAATTACTATTGACTTTTCCTGCTTCGTGTTAGTTTGTTAACTACCACCCCCACGGCTGCCGGCTACTAGCAATGGGTCTAACCGTTTGCTGCGACAGCAGCAGACTTGCTAACTTAATGTTACTGACGAATTTTTCCCCGTCACTGTTTGCCCCCGATGTCACTCTTAATTTTGCCTCTGTTTTTACTACGAGTGTGTTTGCCATGTCTCTACGTTCGTTACTTGAGCCGTTAGGCATTACTTCGAAAGGCTGGTCCATTCCAGCATGAAAAAAAGTGTGTTTGTATACATTCGGATTCGAACCTATACCATCATGTGTCCTCAAGTTTAGCAGGCAAAAGAGTTATTACTACATCATCACGGAAGGAATTCTTACCACGAGTTGCGGTAGTCAATTGGATAGCAGTAATTGCTGTTCATCTGCGACTACAGTCTGTATTGTGCTGTAATGCGCCTGGGCGCAGCTACTGCGGCGCCTGCCAAGATCGTCGTTTCATGTCGACACAGACACGTGTAACCTAGACACAAACACTTGCTAGAGTCTACCACTAAGAGCACATAAGAAATCACGACTCTCCCGGTCTTTCCCCCGCCTTCGAACGCAGTCGTAGTTGACGACCGGTCTTCGCTCGACGGGCTTGTCCAGCCGACACAGAACAGCAACATAGCTAAATGCAATTTCAATCCTGTGGCTGCGTGAGTTTGTGTCGATGGCGCCTGCCTGATGGACAGCAAAGCAGACGATACGAGTAAAAACACCCGACACACTTACGGTGGGTCATGGTGTTTCGCCTAGTACCGTCTCTCGTGCACTAGCTACGAAAGCAAATACGAGCAAACCCGAGAAGCCATCGACTACATCAAAAAACTGCGGTTACCCGACCCACAACACAAGGACATAAATCGGTACCTGTGTGTGTTCCACTTTTGATAGGTTGCCTATGTGATGGTGTTGGTGCCTGTAGTTGTAATGATGCTTGGTGCGTACCGTTGTTGTGACGGTATTGTTGTGAGATTAGATGGTGTTGTCGAGCGTGTGGTGTATCGATAATGTTAATGTGATCGCTTACACGCGGGGTATTAGGCAACCGGGTACAGCAATAGTCTGTAGTGGACCCCATCCGATTTTCTGTCGGCGTTGGGGTTAGCATTGGAAAAGCCGTCACAGCAGTTCCCACGGATAGAAGAGGCTTCGGCGGCAGCCACAGCGCTAGCAACGTTTTGTGTGTGTGCCAGTACACCTATCGGTTTGTGTTTGGCGGTTAGGTTGTGTACAGGGCCCGATGTCTTCTTAAGTACGAGCGCTCTAATTGACTATTCCTGTGTGTATATGTCAAGTGACGGCTTCCCACTAAAACCAAGCGCCATTCTGTCGCGAAGATCAGAGCCACTATTGCCACCACTATCACAGCGAATACCAAGACACAACACGCGTGCGTGTTTCTTGCTCGTAGTGTTTCTTGTCACCCACCGATTCCACGAACATGCTGCTTCTACTTATGTAAGTAATATAACGTCAGTCTCCCAAAATCGGGTCTCTCAAATCTTCAGATAGGCGGTGGCGGCAGGGCTTCGTGAACAGTGAGTTGTAAACTTTGTGTCAGCGGCGAACCTGATTGCCTCGCGACATCGATCGCTGCCAATTAAATTGCCGGCGCTTCGTGGGAATTTGTCGCCGTGGGATTTTTCAGGCGGTAGCCGTTGTTTCAATATTCGAAGGGCAGGTCTCCAACCGACCGGTATTGTCGTCCGCTTCTCTTTCATTAGGTGTCAGTGCAGTAGCTTCAACGGTCTACTAGTGGTTCTGGATGTAATCACGACTATAGCAAAAAAAAGTAAACAGGGACCCCACCAAGAAGGTACAGTTGATCTGCGTTTGTAAGCGTGTATTCCTTATGCCGGCAGGGTATCTGCATCACTAATGCTTGCATTTCCTCTCGAGTGCAGACAGTCAAATTATAGAAGATACTGGCTGACACTAGCAAAATTCGATAGCATCTAACGCCTAAAGCGGCTCGGTGCGCAATAAAGTTAAATCAAGCTAAGAAGAACAGAGAGGGATTTGGTTGCATCCACAACGATTGGCCGATTCGCCGGGAAAGTCGAACCCGACCAGGCCGCCCTGGTGGGGCCTAGACAATCAGGGCATCGAATTAGACGTAACACAACAGAATGCCTCTTGAGGCGTTATCCACTGCCGACGCACTAAAATGGTGCAAAGAATTCGACTCGGGCGGATCAGACCATATGTGAGTTGTTAGCACAATTTAATCAGCCAAGTATAATGACATAGGGCTTTATTTGACCATTTGGCTACGTAACCGAAAGATGTGTGAGTGAATCCATATAAAAGAACTAATCAGCAGTGTCCGCAGGTTAGATAGTTTTTTTGTTTGCCAGTCACAGCATAACAACAAAATATAACCTACCGCGTTCATTATATTATTTTAATGTTGAAGTTTCTGCCTGCTAACTTTAAGCACGTGAAGTTTTTTGTCCATTTATATTTTCACAGAAAAATATTTAGTTAGCTCCACTGCGAAGCAACGCACACAAAAAGCTTGTGCAAAACGGAAGGACATCGAATCAGCAGAATGTTACGTAATCTCTTGCGCAGTTGTTAGAATAGAGTCGACTTCCCTACTAAAGCAAACAAGTTGCTGCAATAATGTGCCGAACTGTGCCGCACTCGAATTGCTATCCTCGAATAATATCGTTAATTAAGGTTTTTGATTTACTATCTTACATACACAGAGTACTTACATGTGCTTTTTTACATCAAAGCTAGACTGCAAGTATGCGATCAAGATTACTCAAAACTATCCGGAATTAACTTGTCCTCCTTTAAGTTACGACCTGTTGCCACCTCAGATGTTCTGCGCTGGAAGTGTACCCCGATAACGGGGCTAGCAGCTGATGAAATCGTTACGTTTTAGTTATGCTTGAATGCATTACATAATTGAATCTCATTAATCGATGTTTTTGTTTATTTTATTTTATTTAATGCAATGTTCTTATATTTATGAAAAAATTGGCGAGTTTTCTTAATAGGAAAGATTTGTCATGATAAGTGGCTGATAAAGAAAATATTTTCATTTGGATTGTCTAATTTCAATAAAAATGAGTGGGCATCCATCATGGTGTTAGCTTGATTGAAATAGAGCAGTCGCTCACATAAGTTTATTTTTGCTAAATAATCAAGTACAGTAGAATCACTAACTAATACCTCTACTCCCAAGGCCTCATTGTTGTTACATGGTATGTGGAAAAACATTTAGTTAAATAACATAAGAAAATTGGATTTGTTACAGGTTCTCTTGTATCATCTTAATTCTATATGAGTATAAACTGTGTAATAAACAACGTAGATAACAAAATTTTTACTGACAGCTTTTGTTTAGTTTGCTCTGAGACCTAACAATGGTTCCCTTATATAATCATCTTTCGTTTTGCTTTTGATTCCATTGCAGATCTGCATTACTTAATGAAGTAACCGCACAGCTTCGTAATGGCTCACACACGCAGGAGGGCATTGGTAAGAATCTCCGTAATTTAGCTATTCGAGTCATAACATGATTCGATCCTATGAAAAATCATTAAGGAACGAAATAACTTTCATATACAATGGCAAAACGTATTTTACTGCCTGTGGCTAATTGGGTAGCTTTACACATGCCCATTGATTTTGTTTTAAAATGAATCAGTGCTGAGACTATGCCGTAATCGTAATGTAACATAAATGAAAGCAAATTTTCTTGGAACAGGAACTTTGCAAAAGTTCTGTAGAAATAGAGACGTTTTATGTATAATACAGGTTTATTCACTTCCAAAAAAAAAAACTAGGCAATACCATGAAATGAAAGTTGATTTTTCTATACTGAAATGTCACATAGAAAATTCTAAGAAATACGATTTTCATATGCCCACTTTAGCACTCCATAAACAAAAATGACGTTGATAATGAAATTCAATAAACCCAGTGATTTGCAAAATCACGGAGCAGGGAAAAAATTTCAGAAACGAGTTGCGCCCGAGGGTTGTAATAGCGCTTCAAATCACAATCTGATCACGTTGATAACTGTAGTAAAGCCCACAATTTCACACCATTTTAGATTACACTGGTGGATAATTATGTTCGATGCATTACATAAAAAAGTGTCTGTGAGGACGAGGATTTTAATTAATGTTTAAACGAAATATTCCGCAGCTAATCAACATATTGGACTGTCGAAAAAGTAATGACGGGTCTTATAGCTAGAAAGATTCAGTGTCACTGAAGTCGACTCATGAATCTCAAGTTATATAACTTGAGATTCATGGGTCGCGTCCATTCACCGTTGATGCCTTTCAAAAGCTATGATTTGGCAATATTAGAAACAAACATTGGAATGCCTTTATTCAGACTCAAAGAGTACCTTGTAGGTGAGCTTGTAATTACAAAACTTGTAATATTTTACAATTTTGTAGTAATAAAGCACAAATGCTACCCACGCCAATAAAAAGTGTGCTGTTTATTATCACGATGCGTTATTTATAAAATTTCTGTATAAAAGGTACTCTCCGTGGTGCTTAAAGAATTACGAAAGGATTTAAAAAATCATTGCGAAATTCTTACGAAAACGTAATTAGCCGTGACGCCAGCACAGAGCCTTAAATTATTTGCAAAAAGGTGGCTACAAATACGAATTTCAATGTGTAGGAATTGACACAAACGAATTTATTCAGAATGTATTTTCATCTGCGAAACTCTACTGAAACGTAACGAAATCAAGCTACAAGTGAATCACATAAGACAACGATAATGCGTTTAAAATGTTATAGTTAAAGCGAGAGAAAGCTCCATAGTCGGTCCCACGTTAACGCCAAAAAAGGTGATTGAAGAGGACTCTTGCATTATGAGCTATTGCTGCTCGGCAAAACAACTGATCAATAATTAAGAAGACTACAACAAGTTTTTGAAACCGACTAGACCTAACGAACGATAGAAGCGTCGTCTTTCACCATAAAAATACCAAACTACGTACATCTTTAAGAATTCGGAGAAAATTGAGAGAACTTGGACGGAAGATGCTACGGTCTCTGCAAATTCCCTTAATGGTGTTAGTTTAATTTTAATGGAGTAACGCAAATATCATTTGTCGCAATTTTTCGCCTAGAATCTATAAAAGTTACGTAGTGATAAGATAAGTGTTACGCGAAAGATAGCAGAAGTTCATCGAGTAATGACGCATATTTTGTTTAATAGTAATCTTGTAAAATATTAAAAATATTTGTATCAGTAGTGGCCCAAAAAAACGTTAGTACTTCTTCGACTACCCGATACAATAGAATGTCATAAAATTTCTAGGTGTTTAATTTTAGATAGGAATAAAGATGTAAAGAACTTAACTTTCCGAATAAAGAAAAAAATTTTAACTATAAGTAAATCCGGGCCACTAAATACGACGGTACTGAAATATAAAGAGGAATATCCAAAAGAATTTTTTTAGTAACACCGGAATACGTAAACTTGCCAGAATGCGCCCTGATGCCTGAACGTGGTTGATTCGAATGTTTATTCATTTATCTGTGTAGCCTAATCTATATGATGGGATAGAACGATGTGTGGTTTGGACACATCTGGCAACGAACTACTATAGTGGCATCGAATATCGGGCGTGTCTCATTACGATTATGTTCATTTAATTGCATTTAGGGAGCTAAAAGGTTATAAAGAATACAAGAGTTTCGATATTGTATTTAAGTTACTGTTTGTTTACTTTATGCACGTTCTTAGACGATCAGAACCTGCTTAGTTTTCTTTGATACGTTATTGAGTTGTATCGCCATGTAACAGATACTCGAGTCCGATTTGTTTAATTCCGTAACCTGTGATAGTGTTTTTGTTAATGTAAGTCCAAAAGTAAGATCATATAGTTTTCACCCATTCACTTAATGTCGACATAGTATTATATTGACACTGCTGCATACTTACGCTGCTCGTACAAGGGGGGTTACTTTAGAAACCGAGCTCAGATCTAAATGAAACAAACATCCGGGCTACGATTCACCCATACTCAAAAAGATTTTTGTCTATCTGCGGATTCGAACTTAACTTCCCAGACAAGCAACCATTTTATCAATCCACCATCTTAATTATTTTCTAGAGACACGCTTAAAAATCACTTGTAAAAGATAATTCTCCTATAAATTCTATAATATGACATCTTATACTTGTAGCATCATGTGGTGCTACAAAAACCTACAAGATTTAAATAATTCTCGCACTATAACCTTATATCGGCAGAAAAAAGCATACAAATTATGAATAATTAGGAGCAAGCAAAAAACGTTTCTGACCAAAATTATGTTCTCTTCGGTCGTTATTTTGCTATTGCAGATGCAACCGCGAGTCTCGTTCGCCTTATGGAAGCGCTTCTGGGCAGCGGAGTTGCCCCGGGTAAGGTTTGCGCACTGTTGCCAACACTATCAGAAGAGTCGGCGGCTTCGGTACTTCCACTACACGATGCTCTGTGCGACGTGCTCTGCGTGCTTGACGGGTATACACAGGTAAGTAGCCCCATCAGATGAACTTTAAGACACTCAACTCAGACAAAAAAACACTCTACAGAATATAATGCCCTTAATAGTAGACGTGGATCGGCTTGACAGAACTGCGTATACGGCTTGAAGCATGGAGTGCCATTAGAGGTATTTCATCAGATGAGGTCGTGACTTAAACAAGCAACGTTGATCAACCCAGGAGCATTTTTGTATTAAACAGATACAATGGCACATATATATTACTTTACCATAAATATTGCGTAGTATATATCGATGGACAGAGTTGAACCAGGAACCCTCTCTGAATCTTTCATGCGCCCAATTGCTTGCTTAGTGTATAGAAAAATAAAAAAGGAGAAAGAAAAAAAAACTTAAATATATGATTTCTATATGACTTCGGCCTATTTTCAACCAAGGCTACTACTAAGTTTTGCTTTCATATCACACTGTGTGCAGTGTCGAGGCGTAGCCTGTTTAATTAATTTAATTATGTATATGATGATTATTTTTTCGTTTGTTGAATCAAGAAAATGTTTTTCAATAGTTAGCCATAAGAGACAATAAACATGTCGATTGACGTCGGTCATCCTAAAAAAATATAATCATAACCAGTTCATATAGGTAATGTCTATCAGATACCTAACATCAAGCAAAAGCTTATAGACAAACGTTGGGGAAAGGATCCCAATTCAAGCTGCACCTAAATGTATGCAAATACATCTTTGTTTGTGAAAAAGGAAAAATGTTTTCTCAATATAACTTCTGGTCTTTCGCCTCGGGGACGTAGGGAAGCGACTCATCTTATAGGCCAAGGTTGGTTGCATTAGTACGAGCTCTTGTCTCAGGAACGGGCACAAGTGGAAACCCGATTATCGATGGCGACCTGCTTCGAGAGAGATTAGATGTCGACCTCCAAGGAGAAGCTGGTCTTGTACGAAATTCGAAGGCAGCAAACACGAAGATGATTCGAGTAAAAACTCGTCTTTTGTGAGTATCTTGGAGACAGTCTTGTTTTGGGTATTTCGTTAAGTGCTACCGTCCAACATCTTGTGTGATATAGTTTTGTGCAACGAGGTTCTGCCATATTTTCTTAACCAATATTCAATGATTTTTAATATTGTTAAAATGAATACATGATCAGCCTTTCAAGCATATGTTTGGGGGATAATCTTAGACGTTTCTGTTCCTAGCAGTAAGAGCTCCAATACGATGGTAGATCTCACTCCGAAAGAGCCCCCCTCTCCCTCCGCGATTGTTTCTATTCTCAGAACATAAACGGAGGTTAATTTATTTATTCATAGGAGGAAGCTTATTCAAAACTATTTTTATCTCTCTGTGTGCTGTGAAAATTATACTTTTAGTTACAAGCAGAACAAGTTTAATTTACACCGTGAGGAAAGTGAAGGTTATGCGAAACTGCTTACGGAGCTGTTGAATCGTCAGCATACGGACAGTAGCAGGTTATTCGAGGTGCTGAAGGCGCTCATAGGATGCTTTTCGCTCGACCCTAACCGTGTGTTGGACTGTATCCTAGAAGCAATCGAGGACCAGCCTGACAGGTACGTATTACATCCGCTATTTCATTTATTACACAAGGCGAGAAAAATTCGTTGACTATCAAGAGACTTGTGCTCCACCCTATATAATATAACACAAACACGCACGTTGCGCGGTAACGTGACAAATCAAATTATTGACTGCAGGAGCCAGCAATCGCTAGGTCGAGTGCCAAGGCGCAACATATTTTTTTGTACCGAAAAGTGTTCTTAATAAACTCGACCGTTCGCAGTAACATACTTCGTTAAAATACGTAACAGCCATGGATATAGATATGGGTCATTAACCCTTAATAAAGAGGGTAGCTGATAAGACAAAAAAAATGACAATCATTTGCGAATATGAGCGTTCGTACATATAGTTGTTGTCGTTTCTTAACTTTTTTGATAACAAAAAAAGCTCGATTATCTAATATGTCTTCACTCATCCATTTCAGGCACGAATTGCTAATTGGCGTCTTGCAAGCCTTCGGCATGGATTCGGGAAATGTTGCCCAAGTAATCGGATTTAAGTTCTCTTGCTACCAACAGTTGCAGCAACCCTCAGGCGAATCGGGATCAGCCGGAGCTTCTGGAGCCACCGGCGGTTCCGAAGCCCCTGAGAGCTTATTCAAAGCGTGTGCGTTACTTATCAAACACGAGATCATCACCGTTGACCAAATCTATTCCCTTGTGAGTTGCTATTTAAGGATTACGTCCACTATTTGAGTACTGTCTTTAAACCATGCATAACGTCAGTCATACATGTTAGCAGTAATCTATAGAGAGACCGACGTCCCGCTGTTTCTTGAATCGTTGAATTTTGCTTTTCTATTCACAGCTTTCCCCTAGCAACGAAACTCTAGTCGAGCAGTACCGTGAAGAGCTTACCACAGCGAGACAATGGGCAAAGAAAACCATATCTTTAACGACTGAGCAAATAGCCGACGCAGAAAGGGCGGAGGCAGCCGCCGCGGCCGCGGCTATGGCTAATGCCGAACAACAAGAACAAGTTAGTAGTAATTCGACTGGTAATGGGGTTTCCGGAGTCGCCGGTAGTACGAAAAGCGGCGGAGCAACCGGTGCTGCGGCCGGAGCTTCCACTCAGCAGACAGCAGCGGAAAAAACCGATGGACAGACCTCAACTTTGGCGACTTCAAGTAGCAGCAGCAGCGGCGGCGGTAGCGACGAGATGGCAGGTGGACCCGGAAGCAATGCAGGATTAAGCTGCTGTCAGAAGCTGGCCCTACTCGCCGCCCTGGTGCAGGTGGGCGCCTGGAAACATCTCAGACAGGTGCTCGACTACATCCCCGGTCCCCTTGCCATGCTCAACGAGAGGGTTCACTCGACGGTTATACAGGTGAATGTGGGAGACAAAGAGTATATCGAGTTGACAGTGAATCACAAAAATATATAAAGTGTATATAAAAATCTATTAGTCTGCTATCTTAGAATGACCATGATAAAATGGTCACTTCGGTCTGATCTATTGCGAGCTATTAGAGGTTGGGATTTTTTGTGTCAGTGAATATGGAAATTAGTTGATTTTTGCCCTAAGGCTAAGTTTAGTATTGTTTAGGCAGTTTATTTGGTAATCGTTGAAAATTTGGTAAACGTTTATATTGAAAAGCTGTTTGTCTTTTAAGTGCTACAAAATAAACATAAAAGCAAAATGCCAAAAAAAGTTTCATTTTTCTGGAAAACAACGGTGTGACAGAGTTTCTAAAATACAAGAATGTTGCAGCAAAGGCAGAAGTAATGCACGCTGAAGAGTAAGGCGCGTGGCTGCCCACGCCCGGAGATTAACTTTACAAAGGTAGAACACGATTTGTTCGATTCTGCAGTAGAAACTTTGAGTCACAGTTGGAAATTTTTTTGAGTAGCAAGAACACATATAGACAGGTCAGTAAAGCATTTCAACGGCAGAGCGGCAGCCCGATTAGTGCAGTACAGTGACGGTAACGAAGTGATAGATTAGAGTGGATGTAACCGATCACTGGAAATGGGTGATAGCAAAACTGGAAAAAAGCAACGGGATAAGTCAAATTAATTATGATGAATATTGACTGAAAAATTAAGAAAATTAAAAATTAATATATAACTACAGGGGTAACGGAATTAGTGCACCGAGGACTCGGAAAATATACTAACTAGGAAAAATAATGAAAGCGCATGTTTGCAAACCGTGATTCATTATATTGGAAATATTAGAACATGGTGATAATATAACCACGGCAATACAACGAAGTTCTTGGAACATTCCAAGAGCAAAACGTAATAGATAGAGCGGGCTACTTGCAATGGGATAACTCTTGACCACACGTTTCTTACTAGTATATAGTGTACTTTAGGCATGCTGTGACATTAGCGAAGCGGATTGATTGAATCGACGGCACAAGGGAGCCGGGCAAAGTCCCCAGGTCTGTCCAGTTATTATTATAAACATTAGTGATCATTATTATTTTGTGCAAATAGCTCGTTTGAATATATATACTTGCAGGAATTACTTGTGAATTGACATCGTTGGATAATGACTGAATCTTCTCCTCAATTCCAACAAATACAAGCTTTATCTGAAATTCTAAACCTAATCGTAAATGCTATGAAATATTTTGATTATTAACAACATGATTTAATAACTCTTAGTTTTTAATGTATGACAGCATCTTCTTCTCGTATTTTTCTGTATATATATATTATATTACATATATGTTCGAGTTTATTCTGCCCGTTTTACATTGAATTCACCTATGCAAATATTTCCGTTTTAGACACTACATTATATGATTGATCCACTCTACTCGAAGAACTCGACACTCCCATCGGCGTATCGCAAAAAGATCTCATCGAAGCAGAAAGTGTCCTCTATTGGCGTGGAGTGCGTCCAACAAGTGAGCACGTTTAAAGAGTTCCAGAAGGACGTCGTACCGCTGGTCTGCACGTTGGGGCCCATGCTGCACAAGGATCCCGTGTTGCTGGGTAAGATCGTGCGTCTTTGCAAGGTAATTGTTAACTCTTTTTACTAGTACCGCTAATGGATTCCTCTGTAGCGTGGCCTACCTATGTGATGACGATAAAAAATCATCAGTTCGCATTTTTGGCTTGTTAGTATTTTGTTATAGCATATTATTTAGTTAACGAAGGCATTTCTTATCCGTTCCGTGCAGACATATGTAGGTAAGAAGCCTCACGAACGTGTTGACTTCGGAGCCGATGAGCTCGAATTGGACATATTAACTCTCCTGGAAGAGGCTCTTTTACCATCCTTGCAACTTCTACCGGCCAACTGTGCCGTATCAGAAGAGCTGTGGTGCGTGATAAAATCCTACCCATACCAACAAAGGTAAAAAAACCAACAAAAGCACCCAAATAGTTTCTGCCATAATTTTAATTACCTTTTTCAGTAGAACATCTAACTCTAGTAACGGTCCACGGTGTTGTTCTTTGATGTCCTTGCTACATTAGCACATACGCATTTCGTGTTTTTAATTCTTTTCATATAGTTTGTGTGAACATTATCTTAACATATGTTTCCTTAAAAAAAATATTGTCTTTATTAACATCACATACTAATAATAATGATTGTTTCATTTGTCTGTTCTTGGCTGTAGGTACCGGTTGTACGCATCGTGGAAACTTGAAAGCTCTCATCCGCTGTTGATTCGTGTGCGCGCAGTTACATGGCGAAGAACTCGTCATATGATGAAACGTCTTACCAAAGAGACGGCAAAACAATGCGGCCGACAGTTGGCGAAACTTGCTCATTGCTCACCATGCTTGGTGCTCAGCTACATGCTAACACAGGCTCAGCAGTGGGATAATCTAATTGGACCTGTGGTATGTATTTTGCTCTGCAATTATATTTAGTTCCTGTCGAGCCCTGCGAAAGCCGCCAAAAATTCAACGTCTATTTCGGTTTTTCGTTCAATAATATACCCATAAATCATCTCTAATATAATAAAAATTTGAGTAGTAACTTTCTATTTAGTGCTTTCTATGTACTTGGTGGTTTTGATTTTGTTGATTGAATATATGTGCATTTTGATCACTTTCAGGTGGATTCGTTGAAGTTCTTAACGAGTTTATCTTACGATTGCCTGGCTTTCTGCGTCGTAGAGGCTCTGTCCGCGCAGAAAAAAGATCGTCTCCAGGATGATGGGGTTACGGTTAGCGGTTGGTTAAAATCGATCGCATCGTTCTGTGGAGCCGTCTTCAAAAAGTATAACATCGACCTCACTGGATTGCTTGCACTGCTAGCGAACAAGATCAAAGATCAAAAATTGTGCGTATACCGCTGCTAAAATCTTCCTGTCTAAAAGTCGGTGCTATGCTAAATATGAATGAGTGAAATAGGCCTTTGACTCGTACTGAACTAGAAATGTCGAGGAGGAAAATGAGGAGTGTGGTTTACCTTTTTTTTTAACATTTTCAGCTATTTCTTTTGTGTAACCAAGTTTCCAAAGTCATCTTTTCAAATATACCATTAAATACCTACCACCCCTCTAACCTTTAGTCGGGTGGGTTTTGTTGCGAGTTTTTCTAGTAGATCTATGAAACGGCATAACCATTTGCCAACGTTGAAATTCGAACCAGCAATAGCCTCACGCTCCTAGTTAGCATTGCAGTCCTTGGGAAGAGATCCGCACCAGTCACTTAGACCACAACGGAAGCTCTGTCAACAAGTTCATAAATGAATCCTTCGTTCACGTTTAAAGGCATGTTATAATGAACTGTTTTTTTTTCAATTAATTTTCAGCCTCGATCTTCTTGTTCTCAAGGAAATTGTCTACAAGATGTCCGGAATCGAGGCGATGGAACAACCAACGCCGGAACAGCTGGAAGCGATGTACGGAGGCGAAACCTTACGAGGCGAAGCAAGCTACTTTACACAGGTAATCTATAGTATATCAATTATGTTCATTTTTTACTTATTAATTAGTGTTCTATGCTGAATCGATAAATTTATGCATCGATAAATAATTTTTTTTACTATACATTTTACTATATGATACATACAATTGCAGGTAAAAAATGTCCGGAAGAGTAGCCAGCGTTTAAAGGATGCTTTGGTTCAGCTCGATTTGGCAGTTCCATTATGTCTTCTGACGGCACAACAGAAGCAGTATATTCTCTACCGTATTGAAGATGCTCATATTAAGCTGTTGGGCAAAATGTACGATCTCTGTCAGGAGACGCTGTTCCAGTTCGGTCAGTATTCGAAACGAGTCGAAGATACAGATGGGCTGTAAGCGGAGATTAAACCTATCTGATTTAGTTTCCTACATAACGAGCATAACCCTCCAATAGTTGTTTTTTAAAAGGTATATTACCGTGTGGTATTCGCCTATTTGTATTCAAGTACATAGAAGACCGCTAGTCGTCTATCATCCTTTACTAACATCTGTTTACCCATGCGTTGCCTGATTTCGTGTGTTGTAGGCCAATTTCTTCTTGTAAACTATAGCTCAAGCGAACATCGGCTACCATCTGTCGGTGAACTGCTGTCACGGTATATGGTAACAGCTGACGTGGCGTTCTTCCTGGCTCGACCAGGCCTGATGGAAAATATCGACACGCGTTTCCAGCAGATGAAGCGAGAGGCCAGTGGTGAAGTTAGCAAACAGGTCGAAGCGCGAATGTATGTGGATGCCGTAAATTACGTACTAGGTAAGTTGCTATTTGTAAATAATGAGTGTTTGAGCCAAGCAAGCGTATCAGAACAGATCTACCGAATATCATTATGTATATCTGACCTTGTTAAATTAATTGGCAACTCTTTTATGGCGTATATGGGTTAGGTACATACATGTGCAATAAAACTGAGCTGCCATCGACAAGGTAATAATTTGTTCATTCGCCTTTTCATACATTATACCACTTATTTTTCTTTTTCTTTCATTGCTGGTTATCATACCTGGTTGCATCTTCACACTGTACTTCGTATTTTGCTACGACGTCTCTCAGGTCCACTAAGCGAGGCGATCAAGCCCAATTACCCACCAAAATGTTGGCAAGATCTTAGCAGCGAGCTGTTCGTGGCTTTCTGGACACTATCTATGGGTGATGTGGTGACACCGGTAGCCGGTTACGAACGCGAAATATCCAAGTTACGAGCACAAATCGCCGTTCTTGAAGATAACAAGGAACTCGCGCCCGCCAGAAAGAAGAAAGACAAGGAGCGCTGTGCCGCTCTTATCGATCGACTTCAGGAAGAGCAGCGAAAACAAGAGGAACACGTAGCCCATGTTATGACCCGACTTCGCCAAGACAAAGATTCCTGGTTTATCTCACATACTCTCAAGAACGATACCATCACCCAGTTTTTGCAGCTCTGCCTATTTCCACGTTGCCGCTTTTCCCCAATGGACGCTATCTATTGTGCGCACTTCGTGCATACGCTACACAAGCTGAAGACGTCGAACTTCTCGACGTTGATCTGCTTTGACAAGATCTTTTGTGACATTACTTATACGGTGGCGTCTTGTACCGAAGCCGAGGCCTATCGTTACGGGCTGTTTCTTGGCACACTCATGGGGGTCATGATGCGATGGCATAGCGATGAGAAAGTATTCGATCAAGAGTGCTCGCAGTTTCCAGGATTCGTCACGAGGTTCAAGGTGAGTGAGTAAAAAGAGAATAGCGTAGATCTTAGTCTCAACAACAACAAACTCCTTGATATGCCCGTTCTTACGCATATTAAGATGTAGTGTTTGGTAGGAGAGTGGTCAGAGCACTATGCACGGAGTTTGCACATTTAGTACTGTACATCCGGGTTTAATGTGTGATTCTAAGCTTGCTGATATAAATTTGCATTGAGTTGAATAGCGTATTCATAGTTGTTAATATTAGCTTTCGGCGGATGTACTACGATTTACTGATTTGTCTGAATGATAAATATTTCGGCTGTATTATCGTTGACAGGGCGCTCCGTCAGGAGCGGATAGTGCTGGCGACAATGACGTCGATTACCAGAATTACCGGCATGTGTGTCACAAGTGGCACTACAAACTTACGAAAGCGTTGGTGCTTTGTTTGGAAAGCGACAACGATGTTCAACTGAAAAATGGTTTAATCGTGTTGACGAAACTTGTCCCGCATTTTCCGAAGGTCGGCAATCTCTACCAGGCGCTAGACAAACGTGTGGAGAAACTAAAAAACGAGGAACGAGAAAACCGCAAGGACGTCTTCTCACTGGCCAGCATGTAAGCGTAGGACAATGTTCTCATTTAATGACACCTGTAGGCTACAAAAAAAAGAAACAATAACTGCATGCAAGGACTGCTCGCAGGGTGTATATATACACCATTTAATTGTTCTATTGAAGGTAGATAGTGACTGTTCTTCGTGTGTTTCATACAATTCATTCATGGAACCCAAATCGCGAAAAATGGGGCTTTTAATCTTATTGATAAAGATCTAGGAATCACCAAGTCAAATCTGTTCAGTATAGTCGTTCGCCACCTATTTAAGTAATCATTTAACGTATTTCTGTGCAAATTTCGTATTTCGCCTATAGGTATTCAGGTCATCTTAAGTTGCTTAAGCAGCATTGTATACCAGAGAAAGATTTCCATGCGGTTGTTGACAAAAGTGGCGGTGTCGCTCAATCGAATAGTAACAACACAGCGAGCAACAACGGCACTGGACCGGCAGCTGTAAAGGTAGTGAAAAGTAGCAAGAACGACGACAGCAGGACAAGGTACGCTTCAGGCAACGCCATTACACGGCGAAAAAGACGATCGATATCACTAAAATTGACTTTTCACTATTTCACACAGAAGTCACACTACTAAAAATAATAAACTCACGGTGAAAAGTTCAACTCAGTTTACTCCTAATTACTTGTACAGTTACGTATGAGCTTGTTAACAAAATGATTAATGTCGTTCACAACATCGGCAGTAGTTAAGAAACAACAATATACAATGATCCTATAGATTGTTACAGCTTCTTGTATTAATAACAATACTGGTACTAGCCATGAAGATCTGACAAATGTGTAAATAATGTAACAAGATTTGTTAATGGAAAAGTAGCATATCTGTACGATGGTGTCAATCAGCAGGCGATCGGTTTAGTCGTAGGAATATCTTCTGTAGCCATCATCTATGCATATATTCTAAAAAATAATTAATCACATGCCATCTCGTGTTTTTTTGTTTCAGTATTTTTTAGTTATAGTCGATCCATCGAATATAATGTGTATGTGCATGTAGTGTTTATGAAATTCTTGACCCGCACATGGCCACTTACTGTAACACCTATGTCACCAAATCAACTTACGAAACAACGTTTGTTTTATATCGTTTCCATCATCAGGGGCGGCGGTAATGCACGAGAAGACGCGACATCCCTTACCCTGCCGAAGACGCCACGGGACGCCACTAACAAACAACAACAGCAACAACAACAACAACAACAGCAGCAGCAGCAGCAGACGACGACGCAGCAGGTTCAAAGGGACGAATCGCCCAATGGGCATCCAGAGGAGACGAATCGAAAGCGGCGCCGCGGAGCCGGTGCCAATGAAGATCGCGAAGAGGGTGAACTGCCGCGGGACAACAGTGGTGGCGGAAAGGACTATGGATCTGTTCGAGATAATAACAGCACCAGAGATGGATTAGGGAGGGGGGATAAGGAGACCATGGGACCCATTAAGGACGGAGGTCGAGAACGGGACCGATTGGATCGGAAACGGCTGAGACGCGAAGACCGAGAACTGTTGAGAAACGGCTCAGGTGATGGAGGTTTGCAGCAGGGCGCCCTCTCGAAGGGAAGCGGCCTTACCGACCCCCAGAAAGCGGGTCGCGATGGCAGAGCCCGACTAGTCAGTCCGCCTGATGGACCGCCTCAACCGGGAATTATCGATGATCCACGACCCCTTAAGCGGCAGTAAGTATGTTACGTTAATAAAATACTGTGTACGCTTGGAACGTTCTGATCAATGGAAAAGCTGATGTGGACATGAATCTAGAAAAATATTTGCTGGTTTATTGCTCAGTCAGCAGTTGTTACATCGCAATGATTACGGTCGGGTACTTATATCATAAGTACTAAACGAATTCGTGCAACAATTAAAAAATCTTTTTAGAAAAAATGTTCCAATTACGACCATATTCAACATTTAAGCCAAATAACTACTATATATATATATATATAATAATAATATATAAATATATAATATTATTATTAAAAATATTATCAAGATAATATAAAAACTAAGTAATTGAAGCCTTATAGAAATTTAATGTAACATGTTTAAAAAAAACTTGTTTGCTTAAAATAACTACATGCACTACTGTGAACAGCTATAGCTAAACAGCAAGAAAATCTACATTTAACTAGAAACTATTAAAATCTGCTAGTTATCTCAGTACTGAGATAACTACTTAGTGCTAAGTACCAGCTGAGTGCTGTTTTTGACTATCAGACGCAGCATCGAGTCTACTCGAATGCACCTGGGCAAGGGCAACTATAGGAAGTTCACGAGAAAGACTCGTTTAATCCCAAGCTGAGGTTTTTCACGAACATGGGTTTGTTTTAATATATGACCTGTTCAACGAGACCTTAATAGCCATTCTTGCGCAGTCTTTAAGCTAGCACACCGTTGTGTTGGAAGTGATTTAGCGATCACATGGTTATATTTTTTGCGCTTACGATCATCTCAGTTGCATTACGAAAGGACGAAATTGCATATAAGGCTTGTTGGTATTTTCATTAATCGCTTCTCTTGTAATAATCGGATAAAACTGTCAGTCGTCCAAAAAATGGCCAGTACACTTTTTAGCTTAGAATTGTATGTTATAAACATGTTAGTGGAAAAACCATTAACATCGGGGCCAGAAACAAACTCAGAAATCAAACATTCAATGTAGTCAAATATATACCGTAGATTATTGTCGCGACCACCAAGATCTATATAGGTATAATCAACTTACAGATACTCAAACGTTTCGTTGCTTTCTATTTTCAGTGCCAAATCGAGACGTTAGCACTGCCCATAGCTGAAGACATGACTGTCACGTCTTCAATAAAAAAAAGCTGTTCAAGCAGAAGTGAAAGTAAGATGAAAAGGCACCGACGAAACGAGGCGGGTTTCAAGTGTCCATATACATAGAGGCGTGATGATGAGGATGCAAGTAGCGGGCGAATATATCGAGAGAACGAATGATTCAAACAACAATATTCACAATGAATTCTAATGGCACAATAAGCTTCGTGGTCAGCTGGAACTCGCTTGGACATCCGAAGGCGAGAGAAAAACGTCTGTTGACTAGTTGATACGTTTAAACAGTAGAAGTCGCGCCTGACGGGGGTACATGTCACTTAATGTAAGTAAATGTTTCATCATTGGTGTCAGTGAATCATCGGTTTCCACTGCGACACATCAACTGAACCTTGAACTTCGTTCGGACTTTGAGCATTATGCCGAGCTGTTGATGCTTGGGTCAGCGAGATCGTCGCAAAAATTAAAAAGTCCAGTTAACGTGAAGGTTCCAAAAGAACGGAACTTGGAACAACAGATGGCCTTATCTAAACTGAATCCGTAGCTAAGCTAGCTGTTGGAAATGGTTTCGTCGAAACTAACTGTTGTGTGATTTAGCCCGAAACATACTTGCGCCATGCTTGGTAGTCCGGAAAGAATGAAAAAGCTGTGTACGCTTAAGAATTATAAAACGATATAACTAATATTAGCAGATGACAATGTACCAGACCTAGTTATAATAGTAATAACAAAAATGAATAATAATTAACTAGATTGAAGATCTGCTCAGCATAAAGGCTTTCAGTAAGGAGAAGAAGGGCAAACCAGAAAGATAACCACAGATGACGACGGCTGAAGTCATGACACTTTCAGTTAGCACTTTCTTGTTCGGAGGCTTGTTTTTTACCATCGTGAGAAATGTTTTTGTTATTGACATGATCCAACGTGCTCGCACGACGCTCGATCATTTCAGTTGAGAAAAAGGAAGTACAATAACTCGATGGAAAAGAAGGGGTCGGGCAAAGAGAAAAGGGGAGGGAGGAGAATAAGTAATAGCGGAAATCTTATCGTCGTCTAATTCACCATTACCGCGACCCGTATAAATACATGTAGAGAGCTGTATATACTATGCGTATCTGAAGGTGTGTTCTGATCCGCGAACAAACACTACTAACCGGAGGAAGTTATTGCTATATATCATAATTATTAGTATAGGATTAAAAAATAATATGAGTATAGATGACAATAATAGTCATTATTATTATCGAGCGGCGGCATAAATTCCGTATTAGTATCGCCATTGGAATAATAGCTAGCATGATGATGTAAATAAAGTGTGTACGATCCTAATTGACATTGGGTGTCGTTGTCTTTATCAAAAAGAATCGATGAGAGAACGGCTTTATGAAGAGGCTGTTCAGGGTATTTCATGATCTACAGAGAGATTCCGATGGAAAAAGTTGCCAGTGGAATAGTAGCTGATGCGTATTATTAATTGTTTCACAAACCGGAGCCGTCAGAGGGACTGTTGCAGAAGCATTTCGGAAGGGCTTACTTTGTCCGTTCCTGAGAAATCGGGCTTTAAACACAACCCTCTACCCGAGATCACAAGAGTGACACAACCATTGGCAACTTCAGGAAGTAAGTACCTCTTATAATGGAGCCAAAGTAAAGTTTGTCTTTCTTATTTAGCAACGGCGTTCCGCTTTATATCCTGATCGACCTAAACCTCGTCTATATTTAATTGGGCATACGAATTGGCCAATTGAGCTGCGTTTTCTTACACAAAAACCCTTTTATGGTAAAATGCGTTTTGCGGACGCAGTCCTCTGATACAGCTAGGCATCATCGTTGTGCAAAATGGGTATTAAATATTCTTAAGAATGATAATGAATAAATGTAAGGAAAAGAAGACACGACCTTTGTTGATGACGTCATATTGCGACAATCAGGATACGATCACCATTTATTTTCTCCTATTACATGTTATTCCTGAACGTGGTTGAATTATGCAGGTTATCTAGACAACGCGACATAACGTTAGGCAGTAAATCTAGGAAAGATAATCGCGAAGTGCACGAATCATTTGTTCAGATACGATGTTCAAAAGATGGAGACTTCATAACATTTCTGGTGTCGGTCAGTGTCGCCTTTTCTCTCTCTGAGCTTGTTGAACATCTATCAAACAGCTCGAAAAACATTTACACTAATAACTTATAATTTTTATAATAATTATGTATGTATGTAGATGCTTGAGCTCGCTCAACAGTCTTTTGTGACGTTGAAATATTGGCGATCCTTATGGTAACACCAGTTGTATATGATAACGAACAGTTCCTTTAAGTTTGTTGGCAGAAAAATGCTTCCAAAAGTATGAATATGTCAAATATTCGGAGTAAACAAACTTCGGCAAATGCTTTCGCCTTTGCCTGTTACGGCTGATAATTTTATTTTTGTAATAGCAACTGGTCTATTGAAGTATAGATTATAATAATGAAGCTTTAGTAAAAAAACACGTATATAAACGAGTTAAGAAACCTTTTATACCACAAAAATACTTTGGGCCGCTGTAGAACACTAGCTCTATGGATTCGTACCAGGGCAAATATACTATGCCTTTTGAAATATACTAGCAATGCTTGAGGAGCATATGGGGTTCCATGGCTACGAAATTGAACGCACGCCTCGTGGCTTCTCTGGTAGTATTGTTCATGAAATTTTATAGCCGGAAGCTATAAAATATTAGGAGCGGAATAGTCGGACAAGGTTTTAAAAACTTGTGCTTTAAAAAGTGTCAATTTAACAATCATGCCCACTATGTCTACTGACTTATGTAGTCAATGTTATGCCTGCTAACATGCGGATATCACAACTATAGTACGCAGAAATCGAACAGAGGAAAAAGGGTCCTTCATTCAGGTGTATCACTGCCTACCGCTTGCCTGAATCCAGTCAACGATATAAATATCGCACAATATCTTGTGCGAATAAAGAAAGTTATTTTATTTCTGGTCTACTAGGCACAAGTTCTATGTACGAATTCTATGTAAAACTCATGCTTATCCTGTTGTTCAAAAAAATTGCAAGTATTATAAATGTAAAAATTATACCATTGATTATGGATGTGGCATTATTTTCTTATGCCTTCTAGGATACTACTTACCTGAATGTATTCAGTAGGAAAATGTCGATTTTCAGTACCTGTGTATTAAGGTAATTGTTCGCTAAGATTATTACTGTTATCTGAATGATCTTATCAGTGATTTAGATCTCGGTCGTACTGCGGTTATTCTTCGGTCATGAGAAGGTCAGAAGTCCTATTCAGGCAATTTCATCTAACGATAAGATTAAGTATAGTAATTTTTTAGATTTTATCGATGTTTTAAAAGTTCTACAGTTCTACAAAATATTAACCGAGGTTTGACGGTTTTGGAAGATCTATGCAAGCAATATTATTTGTCCTGCAACAACATATATAGTGGTGGTTAGTCTTAAACAACAAAAACAAAAGAACCATTGAAAAAAATGTAACTCAGAGGAGTCAGAATTAATCTTAAGCAACACGGTCGTCGTATGTACTTTGAATACACCTGCTCCCGATACGTTTTCATTTTTTTACCTTTATATTCCGTGTAACATAACGTAGCTATCAATGTATTTAACACTACAACCTCACGCGCCATCGCTTCTGCTGATTAGATCAACTCTAATTATATTATTACTTTATTTATGATTATATTAACAATGCAATAACTCTATGACTATTGTTATTAGTGTCGTATATGGATCTTTTTTTAATTTTTTATGACGTACCACTTCGTATTGTGTTTCGCTCATAACTATTTTCTATTCAGACTCTCGCACAATCTTCAACGCTCATCCTGCTTGGCATTTGATTCTCGTTGGATAAACCCTCTGGATCATCTGTTATGCGCATCCGCTGTACAGGTAAGATTAGTGAAGTATCTGTGCTGAGCCGCCTTTTCGCCGATCGTGAAATTGAGTATTGGCCGCAGTCTGATGTGCCTGTTGTTGATCGTGTCGGATCGGAAGTTCGACCCGATTTCTCCGACTGCGGCTGACGCGCTTGAACATCGACGGCTATTCTTAGAGTGGACGACATCAGTTTTGCGACGCGAGTGTTACAAGTAACAGCGCAAGCGGTTTTGCCAGAGAACAGGGTTCGTAGGTTAGCAGAAGGTTTTTTGAATAGCGTCTTTCTGATCCCTGGACTGCGTTGAAGCTGGGGGTGATGTTGAGCACACAATGCGTAGCGTCTCAACCGATCAATAACAGTATCCCGCGAAAGGACGTCATCTGAATAAAAAATTGTTTGGTTAGATTCAAGGCAAACTAACGACGACCAATTTTGCTAAAGAAACGTATTTGTAACTAGTCATGAGAAAGGCGGACACGCAAGTTTATAACAGGATAAACGGTCACCGAACTGTAGTCCATCTGTCAGTTTAATAAAGTATTAACTTGACCTATTTCGAAATTCAATGCTGTTCCATCTAAAAAGACACAACAATGCCTACTGGGAGATATATTGCCGATCCTTTGAAAATACATAGATACTATCTTCACGTTTCAGGTAATATACGGGGGTTTAAGAGACTCACTTTTGATCCATACAACGTAGTCTTTATAGTAATGCATGTAACTGCATGCGATTTCGTCAGCAAAATGCTTTTGAAAGACTTCCACGAGAGAAACGCATCCTAGCCTGCGAAAGGGAATTGTGAATCCCTTGACATCAGCGTATCGCATGGACAGCATCTGTCCCGAAATACACAGTTGGAATAATTAGCAATGAAAATACCATTTAGTTAGCTAGTTTTTGGAAAAAGTTCAAAGCACAATGTACTCTTGGTCACCTCGCTGTCCCCTGATAATCTGCAAGGTTCTTGACTAAGGATAATTACAGAAGTTAATGTGAGGAGAATATCTGGCTACATGCAAAATAAAAAGAAAATTTTAGAAAACATACAGTCAGTGTAAGGGGACTAATTCTTCCTGTAAGGATTGAGGTCACAATTGACTTTAACTCGTCCAGGATAACGCGTCGTCTGTCCATATCTGCGGATGCCAACTCCATCTCTGGCTCACTGTTTTCGGGCGTTTTTGGCTGAATCTTGCAGGCATTTGCTATGGAATAAATAAATCTTTAATGCGAGCATCCCATCAGTAAAGTCTCTCACATCACTGATCTACATAGAGCTGATTTGAGCACAACCAATCTAATTGTTAATAATTGTTTAATAGATGTTCATATTGATTGTTTTTATAACTGACAGGGGCTATAACTCGATTAATTGTTAATTTCAAAAAAAATATCAGGATGTAAAAATAAAAAGTACGTAGACAATTTTCTGTTGAACATTCATATAAGCTATGCCTCAGCCGTATAAACAAATCGTTAGATCAGACATGCCAGGCCACACAAGGTTCAAAAAGCATTAAGTGAGACACTCATGCATAAATATTTATTGACCACGTCGATGGCCAAATGTATAGTTCAGATCTTTTTACTAAAAACACTGATCGATTTCTAAACAGTGATATGTGCGAAATGGTTCTACAGGGGCTGGATAAACTGCATCGAATAATTTGGACCTCATGTCATTTCTACTTGTTTATTTTCGTTACAAAGCTGTGTAACGTTAGCCAAACAAAAGCTTTTTAAATCCGCAGATAGTCTCATATTTTACTTTGTCTTCTTTTGTAATATAAGTCCAATTGAAAACGACAGTGCGGCCAAAATAATCATCCTCGATGCATTAGAAGTTAGCATTCATATATCGGTGACAGTATGCAACACACAACTTGTGCTTTAATATATTGTATACAGATTTGAATCACATACAATAATTTGAAAACAAAATCCAATATGATGTACATTCTTGTTATTTTTAGTACTTAAAACATGATATATATATATATCAATTACATGGAGATACCGTAGAAATTTGCCGCTAAATTTGGTCACGTAATAAAATTGAACGTCATAGAAATATTCCAACTATATAAACATAATCTCAAAATTACCCAAAGTCAGTATTTGTACGTCGACTTTAGAAGCGACCCCGTCATCTTTTCCGACTTCAATTAGTAAATTATTAATTATTGCCATCGAGAAAGCCCAAAGCACATGTACACAAAATAGTAGCCAACCAGAAACTTGCATACACCGGAATCGATAGGCGTCAAATCGTTGCTATATCTTTAACAAGTTTCCTGAAAATCATACCTGTATACGGGCCCCGCTCTGTTGCACCAAACATTTTTGTAGTCTGGCCGATCACATTGGTCGTTGAGAACACAGCTAAGCAAAAATTCTTCACATGTGCACAGTTAACCTATATCCAAATTTATTTTTCATAACAACACAACAGACGTTACGGTCGTAGCTTCTTCAGATACTATTTTACACTTTCCTCACCGACGCGATGCGTTCGAGATATAACACTGACCGCCAAGAAGTTGCTTACAAATTACCTCCCTACGATGTGAAGCAATGGGAACTTTTTTGTGGTATTAGTATAACCACAATCAGCACGAAGCTGCGCGTTCCACTAATGGTATCGACGGCCAACGCGGGACTAATCAGCAGTGGCGCCTTTGAGCATACGTTTTTCGCGCGCGCGGTGGCTTTCATCTTTCTTTTATTCGGTCTTAGAACTTCTATGGATGGATGTATTGCCGGATGGCGGCCATCCGTCGAAAGAGACAGGCTGTTCGATCAGACAAAAGGATTTTTGTTAAACATCAGAGAGTTTTATATAATAATGAGTAGGAAATCTCGCCACGGAACTAGACTAATGTCTTTGATTGGTTCGACATTTCATTGATTCTTTTGCAGTGTTTCAAGCTAAAACGTTTTGCGAAATTTATTATAAAGTTCGGATTATATTTTTCTCTTGGCCGACCTTCGAGTTGGCGTTCCACGAAATTTTCGGCTCTAGAATCTCTGTGGACACTACTATGGAAGAGCACGCGGTGTCTTATTTTCTTTTTACTGTGGAGAAAATTTGGATTAAGTTAATGCGATTTGGGTTCGCCTTGTTCTAGCTCTTATGTAGCATATCCTTGTTATAATTTTTGTCTCTTCGACACGGCATTCGTGAGTCACAAGAAGTAAATTAACTACGCAGAAAATTAGACAAATCTATATGTATAAGCAAGGTTGGCAAGCGATGCACACGAATTACACATGTTTAAGAAAAAAGAGTGCATCTATGCATAGGTTATCTCTTCTCTCAGTATAGGTACCAAAAATATGTAAGCTATATATGCAAGCGAACGCTCTCTGCGCCGTCAGCAAGCCAAATCTACAAAACAAACCCTGTTGAACTCCTGATAATTTATCATAACACATATAACAAATTAACGTATTTCATTTTTCCATTTATGATGCCAAAGGTTTGTGATACATTGACCAGGTGTAATAGTTTCTATAAAGTCTGGTAACTTAAAATCGTGTTTTTTAAACTAAACCTGTTATTCAAGTTTGTATCTTTATGAACCGTACAACTAACAGTTCAAAGCGCTCCCTTAAAAATCAAGATGCGATTGCTAACTAAATCAATCAAAACTTACAAGCAACCTCTTGCGTAAAGTACATGAAACTTTTGTAAACCTATTACAATTTGATTACAAAACCGATTCTACAGAAACCGGCGGCGCGCACAAAAAGCATACAGTGCTGTTCAAAGACGTGACGCGTATATTTTGCATATGCACTTGCTAGCAGTGCATTTCATGAGCGCAGATCGTTACGGTGAGAAAAGATGGAGACACGATTCGTATTAGTCTACACGCGCCAGTCTTCAGATCAACAAAGGTCGGCTTGTATTAGTGCGCTAACATATCCATTCTCCGACTGTAGCGCCGCCACGTAAACAAAAGTAGTTTTGTGGAGATCAGCTGACAACAATATAACGCCAGGCTCGAATCATGTTCGAATTATTCGAATATCGGCTATACAACTAGGATTTATAAGATGTCACGTCCTTATGAGTCTTTATGATGACTTGTTATTGGCAAACTATGTAGCAGGGATATTCTGGATTGGATATTGTGCTGGTCAGATGGTTTCGTACCTGTGATTTTTCGTGCGTGCTGTCAATGCTTATAGAATGTCCTTGTGGAATCGGCTTTCGATGTGTATGACGCAAATCGTGGTGGGTTCGAAAAAGTCGCATGTACTTTGTGCGAGTTACCGCTTGTAAGTTACATATTTGATAAGTACGTGCTTTCGTCGCTAATTAAAATTCTTCTAAAATTCTTGTTTCTCATATATATATATATATATATATATATATATATATATATATATATATATATATATACAGGCTAATGTCAATAAGGAAAAATATTATGAGTAATATTAGTAAAGAGCCACTGCGTAGGAAGTATTTGCAATGTTCAACGCTAAGCAGCTCGGCGAGCTATTCTTACCGAGTATAAATTTTAAAACGATATTGACAAAAGTCAGCAGTTTTAAATATGGTTCTAATTTGATAGTAGAATTTTGTCTGGTCGAATTGCTTTATGGAAGCGAAATCATTATGGTTTCCAATGGTTTTCTGCAGGCAAATAATACTTGCAGGACTCATATTTTGAGAATGTTAACCAGCATTAACATTTTGATAGAATAGTTGCCGATATAAAAAATCAAACCACACAGGATATTCAAACAAATACTAATAAAATCGTTCAATTAAAAAGGCTCAGCAGAATCTCTAAAAATCAACGTCAATATCATCAATTAACTCAGCTTTGCTTCTATATAGCAATAAACTATAAATATGTTAGCTATCCGTATCTTCAACGAAGTTTGGATCCGTTCGTGCAGCCTCAATTAGACATTGCAATTAGACATAAACAACTGACTCCATCCAGAATGAAACAACCCTATAGAGATTCTCAGAGTCAATTCAAAGGACTGGTATTGCAGTTCTATTTTGCAAGTTTGCAAGAAAAACCAGTTATATACGGGAATCTTGATGGCAGATCGACAAATGTTAGTTCTAAAATGTGGACTCGTTAACGCATTATGCTGGAATTCTCTGTGTTACCTCTTTTTAATAGATTTCAATAACAATTTAAGATGCCCGGTAAATTAGCAACAGTGGCCTTGAACAAATAAAACAAGGTGCCGAAAGGCGAAGGTTTCCAGAGGGTAATCTATCTTTTAACAGATCGTTATTGTAATATATAATAGCTTAATTTCGTGCCTCAAATCGTCTGCTGCGTAATTTATTGTATAGTTAATATATCCTCTAACTAGTTGTATTAACATAATACATTATGGCTTCATTTTGAGTCCCAGATCGTATTAGGGTCTGTTGCGATAGGCTATCCTACTAATAATCTATTTTTGAACTGGTCGTATATTATGACTTGATTTTGTAGCCTAAATTGCACCAGAGTTTACAATATCATAGATCATGTAAAATATTATCGAACAAATATGTGCAGTAGTAATAAAACGCTATTAAAAAATAATAAAACGGACAGCAAATTAATATTTTTGCGTAGAGGTACTTCTGAAAAAATACATATCATTTTGCTAGGGTGTATAGTCAATTCTAGCATCGAATTAGTCAGTACCATATAAGAAGCTGTAGGCCTCATATTGGTGGTAATACAAAACGAATCCTGCTTTTTCAAATACTAGCTATACTAAATAAATATCTCGTATTCTGTCACCGGTTAATTAGCTCATGGCTGTCACGCTGAATTTATTAACTATAACTATAATACACTCTGTAATTTAACTCTAATATCTTAACACTTAGAGTAAAAAAAAAGTCAACAATGAATCATAAATAACTTTGGCGACAACGGTGGATCACCAAAGATAAAAACATTTCGAATCATTTAAAAAGCTTTTTGCAAATGGGTTACTTATGACAAGACAATAAATATACTAAAAATAATCTCAATCAATGCTAAATTAAATATTTGATGGTAAAAAGGATTTCCTTCGAGCCAAGTTAGGCTACATGTATTCAAATAATGCTTTTAGAAATGTGTAAATTATGATTTTTGGTGTTTGATGATTACATTTTTTTCAGTTGCAGGTCGTATGCAGAAATCGACTTGTCAAAGCAGCCTAAAAGGCCACGGTACCCATTCCTTCGTTTTATGTTAGGCTTGCGGCAAGCTGAACTGCGCAATCATCCCGCCTCCAAGTTGTCTAAGATAGCCAGCGTTAAATGGCAGCAAATGAGCGAAGATGAGAAAGCGGTAAGGTTAATGCGTTTTAATGTTTTTTCAATAATTCCTTGTTTCTCCTAATTTACGAAACATGTAATCTTATCACATCGTACTTACGGATGCTAAACTATTTACGCTAATAGCAGATGACAAATTTGTGAGAGAGTATTGAATGAGAAACTATTTCGTAGCAACATTGACCCGTGTTCGACTAATTTCTTCTTGTTGAGGTTCGCTTCACATGTTTTTTACGTAGTGATTGTTTATTATTCTATCAAATCCGGCCATGGAACGATAGTGCCTTTTCTTTGTGGTATCATATTTAGAAAAGCTTTATAATAATTAGCAGGTTGTATGAACCATGCACAATGTGTCACAAATGTTTATAGACATTAAAAATCGTAGTATTACTATTCATATATTTGACAGCAATGCGTCGCTTTAATGGAAGGATTTTAAGGTAGTGATCCGTTTTTATCCTTAGCCTAGCAGCTATCTAAAGCTCTTGTCAGCCACAAGTGAGAATTGCAATTGTAGCGACATATATGCATCAATAGGTATATTTTTAATGATCTTACTCAACCTAGGATGAGAATAAACCTTCTTCTAAGCCTAATTGTATAGGAAGAAAAAAATAGTGGCTAAATAAATAATAGAATAGTGGCTAAAAATTGAAAAACGCTCAAGTTCTTACGCATGTTTTGTCATAACGAGTGTAATGATCAGGCTCAGTGTACAGTGAGGTATACTTATTCGACTTGTATGAAGGTTAAATATATATAAAATAGTCAACCATGAACGTAATTATGAATCGTAGCTTAACTTTTGAGAATGAACCAACATTTTCCTCTGTTTCGGACAGTTTGTAATTGGAACATCTAGGTGAAATTCCAGGTTATAAATTACCTCGCGGCTTCGCTGGTAGGAGTTCAAAGAAACTCCAGAACCACAATTCTTTTTAGGCACTCTCAGTCATTCTTGATATGTTAAGAGATACTCTCCGAAATTATTCCTTTTAGGTATAGTATCAAGGAGTGCATAAGGCTTTCACTAGGCGTCTAATCAGAGTGGACTTATCATGGGTTTTTGCAACAGATCTATAAAACAGTATGGTGACTATACATACAGCTAATAAACTTAATAATAATTTTTTATTTTCGTTAATTCAAGTTTTTCCTTAATTCTCTATTTGTCTGATTGTTATTATATAATTCCTGTAATTTCCATTTTAGTAAGTACCAAGATTTGGACCAGCGTGGCATCATGTTTATTGGTTTCGGTTACAATGACAATACAGTTAAAGAGAATGCGCATTAATTACCCATAACATGCCGCCCTAAAGTCAGAAGTTGTGGAAAATCAAAGAGAAGAAGTTGTGAAGGGTTGACAAAAGACTGTTGAGAAAAAAATGTTTTCATATAGGGGAGTATACGGTATAGAGGTACACATTGCAAGCTATTTTTATTTTAGTTTTACATGAACGGTGCAATGAAAAAAATCACAATCGTCTATTACTATTTACACCCTGCTAATTAGAATGAATAATATTTCGAGTCCTCCATCCTGTGCTGTCCCAGTTAAGCACTGCTTCAGACACTAAGCGGATCTTTTCCGGTGTAAAAACAGGCGCGCTGAATTGCAAACGTTTTTTTGTAGCATTTGGGAGAATACATTAATGTGCATTCAAGATCACCATGCTAATAGCCTCTAAACCTTGTAATGGACATCTGACATTAGGCCTTTTCTGAACCTTAACACATCGGAAACCGCGAGAGCATTTTACCAGTGTGTCCGGTTTCAAGCCCAAACCATCTCGCCAGCCTCTAAGTTTAGGGGACAAATATCTGATCAATGAACAATCGCGGGAATACGTTCTGCTGGTTCAAAACACGCTACCAGAATATATGCCGTTAAATGTGGTTTTATCTAATAACCATTTATTATCGTTTATGACTTAAGATTTGTGATTATGACGGCGCTGCCATAGAATAGAAAACAGTTCTAACAGTATTATTATTTTCTACCATTTTCTTTACTTCGCCACTCGATTTGACAGCCATACATTGAAGAATTCAAAAAAGAGAATGCAGAGCACCGAAAGCAAATGGAACGTTTCAAAGAGACCCTCGGCCTTGGCGAATCTGAGTATCAACAGGCTTTAAAATGGTATCGAGCTAATAGTAAAATAAAGTCTAAGCGGCAGTTTCGTAAAATTATCGAGGAGCTTAACGGGCCAAAACTCACCGTAGGGTCACCATTCGGCCTTTTTTTTCATGAAGCTTCGCGGAAAAGCAGCGAACATGTTACCCATGAGCGTACTCAGTGGGTAAGTCACTTGCATAATCGAGCACGGTCTACAATATAATAAAAGCTACCAGAATCTCAATCGGAGAAACATACTTTCATGTATCTATATAGGGTATTATAAATTCAATGTCGAATATTTTGAATTGTGAGGCAGTCTAGTGAAAGAGGCATTCTTTCCAACGGCTGCATAAGCTACCAAAGGATTGTTTTGTCGGAGAGACGTATTTACTTAATCCATAAGTTCTCCACTACTCAAGTAATATGAATACACAAAAAAGCTAAGAAGTTTACTTGGAAAACGCGTCGAAAAAGAGTGTGCATTTAAATCCTAATTTTAGGATGCTGCATCTATTCATATAATATTAATATAATAAATATGCCCGAACACGCATAGTTTGCTTCATTTCTTGCCAAATTTCTGTGCTTCAAATTTCAAGCAGCAGCAGCAGAGCTCCTCAGCTGGAAAGGAACTGACAGAAACTGAAAAATTCGTCTTTCCTAAACAGAACAGTGGCATAAATCAGACACCACAAAGTCGAAAACGGACGAATAAAGGTATCGTTATGGCAAAGGTATGTTGCTAGGACTGGCTTCATTTCCATTAGGCATTTCTACCAGTTTGTAAAACTGAGACATGTTATTTAGTTAGTGACAAACTAATAATGAGGGCAATTCATAACTCGAAAGTTCTTCTAGTTAATAATATTGCCAAGCTTCTTATTATTCACGCTATCATTTTAACTCTTTTATTTAAGTTTATCTTTATTACGTTTAACTATAATTTATTGCTTAACTATCGATTACACTCACGTTTGGTATCTTTTTTGATGTTTGGCAATAACACTCATAATAATATTATTGATCAGTTCTCGAGTAACTTTTAAAGTCATGTTTTGATGAGTTACATTCTTCATCCGCAGTAATAAGGTAAATCAGTGAGGTAATCACTTGAGACTAGCCATGTGACTTTCACAATCGTTAACAGGAAGTTGCATCGTTAGCCTTTGCGCAACTGATTTTAATTACAAAAACAAGAACTCGTTCTATTTTATCGTTTGTAACTTCAGTCTTCTTTGATGGTTTATATCTTTTACAATGGCAGCTTCTAGCATGAGACGACGAAATATCTTTACATATTCTACAAGAATAGCACGATTAAATAAGGCAACAAACAACTGTGACTGATAGTCAACTAACAAAATTAATTAGCAAAAAATGATAGCACAGTAAATTTTATAGCTAGTTAATTTTCTCTTTAACGTGTAATTACAAAGTACATGTGTGGATTTTGCATCCTGCACCATGGTAACGTGATGTGAGATAGTAGAGATATTACAGAAAGCCAGCTGTCCTAAAGCTGTCGCGCGTTTTATGCGTTCTCAGCTCTCATACAAGTTGACTTCGCCGTGAAGTTCTAGTACTGAATAGGCCAGGATGCAGGCCTTCTGTAGAAAGAATCGTAGCTGCAGCATACTAATAAGCTAGAAAAAAAATATATATGTATAAACTGAGTACAGAAAAAGCACAAATGGTACTCAATTTCAGAACCGTATGCAGTTCTATAGTGATAAGTGGAGGGCTTTGAGTAAACAGGAGAAGGAACTATACCGAGTAGAATACAACGACCGAATTAATGAGTACAATCGTCGAGTCATCACATGGTGGACAGAGGTAAAATATACGGCTGAAGCACTTGAGTCATCCGTCTTTTGATAGATTACCACGACGCCAAAGAAAAAGGTTATTGTATTAATAATAATAATAATTAATAATAAGATATAAAACCGCATATGTCACGCATTTAAAGATTTATTCGAGCATTTGCGCATGCATTATGTACTATATATGTATATAATAAATACTCGGAGTACAGTCAGTTCGTTGAAGTCAGAAATTTATTTTAATTACTAACGAAGCAACATTTGCATATAAGGCGTTCCATTGCGCGTGGACTAACGACTGTTGAAGATTTTAGATTGCGCGACGCATTAGAATTCGAATTTTGCTAAACATTGGTACTATTAACACATACTTCTACAAAAAAAATAATTCGGCGCAAAAATTACGCTACGTCTTGTTCACAAAAGTCATTTTCGGTGTCTGTCTAATATCTGCTCTTTTCGTCACAGTTACTCCGTCATTTAGAAGCTATGAATAAATCACATGAAAAATCCTTCTAATCAATATACCACTATATCAAGTATGCTCCCTGATTAGAAATCATGCGGCAGTTTGCTAGCAAAAATATTTTTCTTTATTACTCTTTATATGGGTCACTGGTTCAGGTCCCGTTAATGACATGTACGACATGCACAACAGTTGTAACATGCGTTTTATTCAGTTACAACAACATCAATAAATCTGAATGGTATCTGTTTTTCGTTTTGACTGGTGGATTTATCCCCTTTGGTCTTACGAATTCCTTTCTTGTTTCGCTTTCATAGTTATCGTCGGAGCAGCGGGACAAGGTTGTAAACGCGTATGAACGTTACGTGATCTGGTTCAAAAACAGGGGCCGACCGCTCAGACCTCCCCCATCGGAGCTTGTCGACGTATTCGGAGAACAGCAGGCGAACTCGCTATACCATCGAGTGCTTAAACAGCACCGAAAATGCAAATATTCTAACGGATTGCCGTTTCCGTGCGTCCAGAATTCCAGTACAATTAGAAATGGTGACGATGAAAATTCTGGCGAGGGTGAAACACCGGCTAGGATTCGGCAGCGCTGGTCTCGTAATAAGAAGGAGCTCGGTTTCAGCATAAAAATCCTAGAGCGAAACCCTCGTTAGCTGATACTGTTGGCGTACCATATGGCGAAGTATAGGGTTTGTTTACATTAGTAAAAGGGGGCGTTTTTACGCGTTGTACAGAAAACTACTATTTGAAGTTCTTAAAGTGCACGCCGGATGGTTGTAGCTCGTGATGTATAAGTAAATAGTTCATAACAAGAGAAGGGATCGAGAAACACTATTGGGAATATTCACAAAAAAGGATAGCAGGCTTTGAGTTGACGTTTGGAGTCAGGTAGAAATACGGCGTGAATACAAAGCAAACACTTTCACTCTAAACGTCTAAAACTGCATGCCTTCTGTTATGATGGTGCCTGACTCTGTTGTTGTACTAACTGCACATAAAAACACTCAGCTGAATAGAGGTTTGCGTATGTGAGAAAAGAAATTAACTATTTTCAATCCTTACGAAAAATGTGTTTATGGAGACCGGAATCAACCAAGTTTTGCGTTGGTTAAGTAGATGCTCACGCCAATGGGATCTATACGAAAGTGCTGCTATGTATAATATCAAGTGGCTTTACTGACTACAGATTGTCGAGTGGTCGATGACAGGATCTGCTTAACGAAACACGTCATAGCGCCACTAGGGACTAAATTTGGTGGCACATAAGAGAGCTGGTTCGTATACCATCTAAGTGAACAAATTCACTCGCATTCGTTAATTAGAGTGTTTGGAAGGGCAGTTTTAGCTTTACTCACAGGTATATTTCCTTTAAACTGTGTGTCCTTGTTATTATCGGTGTTCATTGAAAACTTGGTTAAATTTCGTTTTTTTTTAAATTTGCGTTAACGAGTCAGTGGTGCATATCATTGGTGACAATAAATAGTAGGAGAATCTTAAGACTACCTAGCGCTGTTGCCAGTCGAAATATATATAAAAAGAGTGAACCGCCAGACTACTGACTTTTGTACATATATGTATAAATAAATAACCAATCAACGCCTCGTTATTCCTGATTAATATAAAATGTTTGTCTGTAAATAAACATATAATAACTTTTCTTTTGTTCAAAATTCATTGTGTTTTTATACATTGTCTTCAACGCGAAAATTCTACATGTCATAGTTTGCCAGTTGCGCCTCATTAGAGACCATTGCTGTTTTTTTGGACATTTTTATCTCGCGCCTCTAGTTTATCAACTAAAAGGTATCATTGTAGAGTATTTCCAGAGCGGACTACGATACTTCCCGAATGCCTTGTATTGAAAAAGGTCGAACAGTACAAACTGTTTCTAATTGATTTTCGTCAGCGTTTAACGACATTCTCAAATAGTTCCATCGAATTCCACTGCCTACTGCAACAGGCTCTACTTCGGCATTACGTCGCAATGGATAATTTTAATCGTAAATAGCAAGGTTACGAACTGGGAATGTCATTGTGAGCAGACTGAATGCAGCGCAAAGGTGCGATTTCCAATTTGGAATAAGTCCGTTCCAATGTTTAAACACTCTGTGAATTAGGACATGACCGATTTTTATAACACGTAAACGCGATTGCGCTAAAACCATTGAGGAACATAGCTTAAGTTGGTATTGAGAGGGACAGATATGCCGATGTAATTAGTAGGGCGACACAAACTGCGCTTAGATTATAAAAGTGCTCGTATGAGTGCGCGGTTTCAAGCGTTATTAGCAGAACTCCACATGGGCTCAGACCAACTGAAATCATTGGGTCCGCCTTTACTTCTGAACGGCTGCACCTGCGTAAGCTGCGATTGTACAGGTTTCTCGTTTATAGTTCTTTACAGTTGGGCACAACGCCTGTTCAAAACGTGCCATGTTAGACTCGTTATTGACTTCGACTATTACCTGGTGCCCCGAACACAACACATCTTACACAGTGGCTTTGCTAAGGTGCGGGTCCAATGCGGTTAAGAATTCGAAATGAAGCCTATCGAAATCGAAAAGCACCCCATAGGAAAGCGACTACATAGGGATCAAGCAGGAGAGGGTACACATTTACTGACCTACTCTCGATTGTTCTCAATCAAACAGATAAATAGGTTCCGGAAAAATGTACGTATGGTAAAACCTAAGACGGAACTGGACGGATTGAATGGGGACAGGCAATGTATAAGCTGACTCTGGCGTCCAACCAACCGGTGCTTTTGGGTTTGCTTGCAAAGAGGCTTACTGAAACGTTCAAATCGAGATACTTGTCCTCAAGCAAGAACTTTTCCATCTTTTCCAAAGGAAAATCTTTTCCAATTTTAAGTAATTAAATTAATTATTTGAAATTAAAAAGAATCTTGAAAAATAAATCATAGATTAGGAATAAATAACAAAAGCCACAGTTAAAAACATCCTGTAAAATAAAAGGTTTTCTTATAAAGAATAAGGGGAAAAGTGGATTTTTTCATAAAAATTAGTATTATGAAATTTGTCTTCTATTTTTAAAAATAAATAGTAAACGTAAGCTACACAAAGCAGTTTCTATAATTTGTGGAGAAATTAAAAACAGTAGAAATAAAAAATATTAGAAAAGTATAGTATTTGTAAAATTAGATTTTAAGATAAAATTCCCTGAAAAAGAAATCCTATAGGTGAAAGACTTGCTGGTAATAGTTTTATAGAAATACAGAAAGATACAGCGCGGCGTCAAACGCTTAATGATGGAAAGTCACAACGAAGAGCTCAGAGCTGAGACTGAGTCAAATTTTGAAGAATGTTACAGCTGTTAGCCGTCAGAGCTGCCAGAAGATTCAATAATACGGTTTCTTTACCGTTGATAATATATTAGTGTGGTAGAAGGAATAAACTCCACAAACAGTCACACAGCAAATACTTTATTTTCTTCAGCAATTGACAAATATATACTATATAGATAGCGTCAAAATTAACACGTTCCTCGGTTTCATACGTAATAATGATAATATCGTTTATTTGCACACGGAGATTCTTAACGCTGTTGGTGAGCCTCTTGTTGACCAACTAGATAGCTCAATTGATCATCGTGGCGAGCACTCCGTTGTTCACTATCATGCTTTTGAAAGGTTCTCTTCCCCAGCTGTTCGTCTTGATACTGGGCGAAAGCTTCGAGGGGTATCCCCTGTAATGTGGGGTGGGTTGAAGCTGCTGCTGTGCCGTGACCGCCTTTTCCGCCATCTTTGTGCTGAACGCCGGCTAGTACTTGCTGTTGATATTGTGGCGGAACCTGGAGGCCTAACTGTTGGCCATCGTACTGTTGAGTATATTGCGAAACATCATTGTAGTTAACCTTGTTGTACTGTCTAGTGCCGTCGGTTTGTTGGTGATGATTTTGAAGGAGGGCTTTGCCTTGAAGGGTTTCACCGTTAGCTTGCTCGTGGCCTCTATTGTGGATTCCGTGGGTACCCACACCCTCGCTTGGATGACCCCCCTGGTGATCACGAGATTGAGACGCTAAATGCTGGACAGCGTGCGTGTTGTGTCCTGAGCTGCCGTGTTGTTCTTGGGGATGTTGTTGATGATGAGGCAGTTGCTGAGCCTGCTGGTCGTGTTGTTCGGATAAATGCCTTGTACCACTGATATGTCCTGGTAGAGGAACGTTCCGTTGTTGGCTTGGTCTGAGAACAGGTTGGCCTGGCTGGCCAAGAACGGCAGCACCCTGGTTATATCCGTCTCCTCGTCCGTGTTGGCCCACACTCACTTGGGCTAAATCTTGCACGGGTTCGGGACCATGGTTATGAATACGTGAAAACCCAGTTTGTGGACCGTGTCCTCCTTGTTGAAGGCGGTCGACTTGAGGCTGTAGAGCTGCTTGGTCCTGGCTGAACTGTCCTGTCGCACCAAGCTGAGCATGGTTAAGTTCGGCCTGACTAATCTGATGACCTTGCTGACCCACTACATCTTGGCCAAACTGGCCATTTTGATTTGAGAACTCTTGAGGAAAATTGCTTTGAGCTGCCGTTGAGAAGCTTTGTCCGGCGCCGAATCCTCCTGGGGCGTAATTTCCCTGTGAGTCGAAGCCTTCTGCCCGTGCTTGAGAACCGAAGTTAACGCCTGGGGGTATCCCATATCCCATTAGCGAATTTAGGTTAAATTGAGGTCCGTTTGCCGATACCCTTTGAAATTGGCTGAAAGCGCCTTCCTCGAAGTCACCGTATGGCCCTGTGGAACCTCCGAAAGGGCCCGTGCTGAGGTGTTGATTACCAAATTGCCCCAGGCCAAACGAATTGAGCTGAGCTGCAACAAACTGTTGACTTGACCAAAATATGGCCATTAATAGGAGCATAGGCCTTCTTGAGATCATCGTTAGTGGATTTATTTTAATTCTCTATCCAATTTCGTATTTTCGTTGCACGTAACTATCAACACAGTTAGGCAGGCCAACGCAATTTTCAAGGTTGGTACGACATAGGTTATATCACGAGTTTCCTTGAAGTCCATTCACGTTGCCACACGGGCAAGTCACGTTTGACGTGCTTGAATGCGAGCAGAGACAAAAAACGCAACGTGCAAAACCCTGCTATTACAACGAGACGTCTTATAATATGGACGTCTTGAGCGAAATGCGTCCGAATAATATTCTGTTGCTTTAGACGAAACAATTGACTTAGCGTGGCTTCAGTAGGGGGCAACTCATGGCTATATAACGGACTAGAAACGACGCACGGCGTGACCAGCTTAAATAGAGTGGCCTTCATTTGGTAGCATTTAGGAGTGAGGGTGAACGTCGCAAATTTGGCTCGAATCAATAATTCCTTTAAGAGAACAGTTACCCACAGCCGGCGCATGACGTAACGGCAATGAATTAAAAGGTTTACAAGACAGCTTACAATAATATTAAAGTGCTCTACATGATGTAACTAGTTCTTTTCATATGTATATCTATTGCGAAGTGCAGAGTATGGTTTGTCCGTTTGACAAGTAGCAGGCGTTTATATGGTGATTACCTGATTTGCCCTTTGTTACCCGATACCCGTCCTGTGTTCTGAACTTGCCCATAAACGCGATGGACTGACATTGTACAAGTCAATAGATTTACGTGCCCCTTGAATACTGAAGATATTTAGCTCAATCTAGAAGACATTCTAATCTATATTTCAATTACAGATGCAAAAGGTCCCAGAAACATCGCAGAAGACGCATGGATTCATGTTGATAAATTTTACCCCACCTTTAAATATTAGCCCGAATAGTGTGCGAATGAGCTGCTTCGGTAATATATTTCAGCTCTTCCTCATTGCCAATAAGGGTACATTTGAATAGAGGAACGTGCTACGCATCGGATCGGGAGTAGAGTGTATGCAGACGACTATGGTATCTAATAGCCATATGTATAGGCAAAGTGTAACAGTACAGTAAAGGAGAAACGCATTGCTTAATGCTTTTGAGTCCCGCTCAATTGTCTCAAGTCGAGTAGGAAAGAGTCTATGATTCGAGCGATAGAAAATTTGCCGATTTTATCCGACCAAGCACATACGAAAGAACAATTGTATTCTATCTATATAGTATGCCCGTAGCCCATTTTCTTTTCTAAGGCATGCTTCAGGAAACAGGGTCATCGCTTGTACAGCTTCCATTGTATCCGAATATAAAAAAAGTTAGAGTTCAATAGTAGACATTTAAGCAGCTCACTAATTTTGCGATGATTTTGTCTCAGGATTATTCCATATACAAAACCCAGCAAGACTAAATTAAACTTATATGCGGGATGGAGCACACGGTAGCGCCACTGACTCGAACCCAGACGGCCTTTCATTTTAACCTGGCTCAACAAGTATGAATTAATACGGCCGTGTACTTGCCAATTCGTTAGTAAAGTCAATTATTATACCTTATACTTTAGCATAGCTTTTCCTACCTAGAAACGAACCTTTTCAAGTTTAGCCCTTTATAAACACATGGATCCATTTGCTACTCCATGTGTGAGAACGAAGAAGCTTGTTCCCACAATCAATACCGATGTACCGATAATAAAGCGAAGTCTTGTATCGAAAAAGTCTGTGCCGTTTTCTGATCGCCTTCATTTGGACCTCGGCAAGCAAGGGCTGCAAGTTGGCACAACTGATCCATAATAACTTGTGTGCAAGAGTATAAATATGGCATATAATTAGCGCAAATCCGAATGAAAAATATCAAGTACAGAATATCTATGCTAATACGAACTCTGTGAAGGTTACGGTTCCTCACCATAGAATTGCAATGGGTTCTCCTCCACCTGGCAGACGTAAGTAACGTCCAGCAATGGTAAAAATTACGTGGCCATTACAGTAAAACAACTGCGGCTGATTTCAGCGTGAACGCAGACCTAGCAAACTACAATATCAGCTAATTTGTATTCGAAAAATATCATTATATAATAAATCGCCTGGCATTCAATTAGCAACAGGCGAGTTGGTCCACAGGGGGCGAAGCCGTAGATGATGTAATCACAGAGACAAACGGTTTTGTGGCGCGGTGTCGCTACAAATGCCAGCTTCGTAAAGAGAATCGTAGGCACAAAATAGGAAAAAAAATATGAGGTAGCCCGAAATGAACGGTCCATTAGCGACCGGTTGGGCCAGCAACATAATGTAACAACAAAGTAATAACAAACAGAGTAGTAACAAAGATGTGTATTGGCTCGTTGGCGCCGAAGGTTTTGCCAAAAGTTGAAGTTGAAACTACGCACAGATGCGAACAATGGCAGTTTCTGTTAAAACTATATTGAATCGGGAGAGTATCGGCCTTAAGTTTAAGTTAATAGCCATATAACGTGCGAACTGGGGTATGAAAATATTTCGTCCTCATAACCTCAATGCTATAGACATGTAGCTTAGATGTGCTGTGTTTTTCTACGAAAATATTGAAGTTAGTTTCATGGAGAGCCAGTTTCAACTGGCGAGCATCCGTGTAGTCTTCGAGTCAAATCTAAATATTCGTATGGCTAGCATAATTTAGCACGATAAGTTATCTATATAATGTAATAAAATTTTATTTTATAGGGGTGTTGTATCTACGGAAACACTTTCAAGAGACTCCCGACTCAAATTGGACACCTCCGCGAAGTTCCACCACGAAATGTCGCTAATTGGAACGGGTTCAGACTGTCTATCTGTATCATAATTACGCAAACACAGTCATCTTACCTGGCTATGTGACGTAATGATCAATAAAATACCTAATCAAAAATATAATCACTATGTCGTGTGGGAGAGACGAGTTTTTCGATATAAGTTAAGGTTCGAACGTTCAACTCGAAACGTTTAATTTGAAAAACGCTGTCCGGCTACTTGTAACTGTAGGGCGCGATATAGTGAATCAGAGTGATTAAAAAAGTTGATAGGGTGCGAGGCAGAAACTTAGTTTGCACTTGTTAAATACGCTTCTTCGTAGCCATGCTCCTATGCTATGTGACGAAGTAAATGTACCCGTACATGTGAACGTTTATCAATATTTATCAATACCACTCTATAGAGTGGTCAGGGGCAATGGGACCATTTTTGCGCTTGTGTATGTATCTATACAAAGTTATATCTACTTAGATAGCAACAATGAAGATATAACTGCAGCAATACGGAATTATTATACTACCCAAATGAAGACAAATCTGATCAATTGATAATGTTGGTCCTTTCCGCTGGTAAACATCAAATTCGAAGTCGATGTAACTGTTTTTTTTTACGAAAGTCAGCTCATTGGCTCTTAATTGTTCGTATTCTGCTACACAAGAAGTCGTTTTATGTCTATGATCATTATGCAAATATTGCCATATTTTTTTATTATCTAGCAAAATTTGATGCTTAGTAGAAGGTAGAACGATAACATTTCTCACAATGATTATGACTGCTTGGTAGACAGAATAATAAAATCGTTGAGTATTTAGTTAGTTTTTAATATGTTCAGCACTCGATAGCGTGAACTCCGCGGATATACCCTGTAGAAATTACCCCAACTGAAAATTGGAAGCTTTAATTAAGCTGTTCTTGTCAACGCGTCTGGGAAGCTGGAAAGGCGTTCGGCTCTTCTGGGTGTCAAGCATACCAAACCAATCTGATCGAAATAGCAAATCAATGTGGAGTAAAATCGGTGCTCCGCATTGGTTATGATTGTCACGCCAGTACCTCTCGTGCATCGTCACGTTATCTTCCGTTGTGATGTTAGACGGCCCAGCCACCATAACTATGCGACAAGATGTCGTGCCTGCAGCGTTTGTTACCTTGCTAAACCAGTTTTGATTGGATTACGACAAGTTATAGGCTTCCCGTTCGTGCAGCAATTGAGCACGTAACGTTAAATTATTCGCCAAACAAATAAATATTTAGAATGACCAGATGGATCTGATCAAGCAGTAATAGGCACAATATTAACTAGAGTTTTGTTATGAGTACTAATGTGTTAAAAATATCCTAGCTTCGAAAAATCGTTATATCAACAATCGAATTCTCAAAAAGTCAAATTTCGCGATTTGACTTTGTTCGTCTTTTTTTTATTTTTGCTGAGAAATTAACGGTTGATACATTATGCAGGCTAGACTTCACTGCTACGCTATTGTCCGGTGGCATGGGACTCTTACCAACTAAACCCTTAACTTCGTATTCGTAGGACCTGAACAAACCAACAGAGAATAGGAGCTCCCCAAACGAATATGAGTTTTTCGAATTAAGACCACCTGGTCACGTGATCGTCAGCTTACAAAGCGAAACGTCCGGTATCGAAACCGTTAGGCGTTATTTCGAACAGCTGGTCCGCCGCGCCAAACGAAGGATCTACACTCGGATTCGGAGCTAGACAACTATATATCCTTTTGTTTATAGGGTGCAGAAAAATACGCTTGCGTATGTTGCACGGAGGCTTAAGCTCACTCACTGCGCTAACCATAAAACCTTGCAAGCCCAGCAGGGATATATCTAATTTGCTCGAAACGAGTGCACACATACGTCACGTGAGCGTATTCTAAACGCAAAGCCATGTATATATTCCCCACATTTACTTATTTATCTTCTATTACTATGCACACAAGTCAGAACCACAAATAAGAACAGGGGTAAAAAGAAAAAATATTTGGGGTATATATAATCGTGTTATAAAGTATTTAAGATAGATTGATGTTCACTGACCTGTGAAAGCGCACACAGATTTATCTTCAAGGTCGGTTCTACGACGTTAACCTATCTAAGGAAAGCTTCTATGCAACTAACTCTGGCCGTTACTATATTTACAAATTTCTTTTAGAAATGTGTTTGTTGCGGTCTCCAGCTAAATAAAGCCAGAAGCCGTAGATGTAAGCCCCAGCAACCGCATAGACTAATTAAATGTGATTAAATATATGTACAAGTGTGATTAAATAAGGACACAAGAGTGTAGCTTCCTTGCAGTGGTTAGAAGTGTAGTAGACTGTTATAAGGCCGAATAATGTCCTGATGTTTAAATATTATCCTTTGTCACCTATGCTTATACGAAAAAAACCCTTTGGATGAATCCTGGTCCTCAAGATCTTTCAAATTCGTCGTCATTTTTCTCAAAATCAATGGAAGTTGACTAACCGCGTTTGTTATAGATATATCTTAAACTAATTACGTCAAGGCTGACGTCTTGCTTGGTTAACGAAACCTACCTCGTAGAGAAGCTGGTCGCGGTTTTCTTCTGTGCAAGATCTTTATCTAATTGGCACTCCATTAGTACTTTGGCATTAAGATCGCAAAATATCCTTATGGTTACTATTCTCTTTATAGTAAGTTTTCTCTTTTAGATTTTACTTATATAATTATTGGTTACTTATATAACTATTGTTCGATTTTTTGTCATAACGCCGCTGCTGTGAACAAAGTCTGCTAATTGCCTGACGCCATTAATACTGGAAGCGTGTATGGGTTCATGATATCGTAAAAATAAAAAAAAAAAAAGGCTGCTTGATATCATACCAAGAGACGAAGTGTTTCATAATTGTTATTAGTAAATTGTTAATGGTAATTTGTTCCGCCGTTTTTATGCATGTTTTCAATGTGCACTTCAAGGTAAGTTAGTTTCCTTTAAATTTAAATCGAGAACATTTCTCGAGAATCATCAAATCGAGAACAGTTTAATATAATTCAGTATCTGTGTGATGAAATAAAGTTCTGTCAAGACGTCCAGTTCTGCTCTTTTTAGTTTCTGCTGATTGAAATACAAAAAGGCGTTGTCGAAAAACACAGTTTGTTCTGTAATAATCGGACCTGGCATAAACGCCATGATAAAAGATGTCCACATAAAACCCAACAAAACATGTTATTCAAATATTTGAGGAATCACATAATTTCACAAAAAATAAATCAGCAAAAAATCCCGTTTTCGTCTTCGTCGAACAGGAGGACTAGGGGTAGTAATTGTTCTTATCTTGTGTTTCATACTACAGTAAACGGCTAAAATGTAGGCGTAAATTTGCAGCGGGCTTCTTCGGAAATATTGTGTTCTTATATTATCACAATTTTGCGTCGGATACACAACTTACGCTGAAATAAGCATCTATCAAAATACAATTTTGGCTTTGTGATCTGTAAGAAAAGCCAGAGGGACGAGTCCACCGAACAAAGGCCCTCTATTAAAAGTAAAATTTTACCCCCTTGGATATGTGCATTTTCCGTCAAGTTCTGCCCAGCCCTTACAGAAGCATAGAACCCGTCATGGAGGAAAGCGCGCTTCCTCAGAGGGGGTTTCGATGACTGACGCGTGTTAAGAGCCATTTGAAGTGCTTTCGGTGCTACCCAAATATACAACTAGATTTTTTTAGAGAGATCTTTAGGCCGTTATATAGAAACCCAACGTCCCTAACGATTAACGCTTCAGCATTACAAACGTTTCGATGTATTTTACGATACGCATAGGCCAAGTGACGCTAATCATGTATTTTGAACTATCGAAGAGCACTTAGCGGAAGCCACTTGACACGTTTCTAACTATCGCTACAATCTCTTTGAAGCGCTTGGTAAATTCTCCCCTACTTTCGACTGATTTGACTCATGCCGGCCTTAGGCTTCTAACTGTGCGAAACTAGATATTTCATAGAGATGTGTCTATTGGCTACAGGTTTTCGTTTGTCACGATGCGCACAGGTACCCAAAGTGCTCTGCTTTGCTGTTTGTGTCCATAACTCCTGAAATTACGGAAAAACTATGGATGCATGAGGTAGGTATAAGCTGGACAGGTTTGGAAGCAAAAAATGTTTTCTACTGTTCAGTGAAATGTGGGCCTGAAACAGGCCGGGTTGAAATCACTTCACATAATGCAGGTACAATTTAGTCAATTACACGTTCAATAGAAAAGGGCGCTGTTACAAAAAAAAGATTTCCGATCTGCTATACGTTATCGGATTGATCGTGCGTTCTCCTATAAGACCTTTGCCATATAGGATAAATAGTTGAAAGCCACATAGAGATATTAAGGGTACATTACTTAAATCAAATAAAAAAAATATAACTTTCAGGTGCCGGCCTATAAAGCTCGATCTATTTTATCTTTATGACAGCTCATTGATTAAGTCATTTCTACTTCGACCACAACTAGTATAACCAACAGATCGAGGGCATAATGTCTGACGTTTCCTTTCTGTGTGTCTTAATAGTTACGTAATCCATAAGTAGAATAGAAAAGAGTAACTGTTACTCTTTATCCTACCGGCTAGAGTGCATCCAGAATTAAGCGCCCCATTGAAGATGAATACTGGATATAAAGGACATAATAGTTGGTGATCTAAGAAAAGGAAAAGCAGTGGCGGTCTACTGGAACTTCACGATAAAATAGGTTCAAAAAAGGATTCGCTTCGAGGTCCGTTGCCGAGCAAGAATTAATATACGTTATTGCTATTTAAAAAGCATACACTGACGCATTCAGTCGACTACCTGCATTAAAACAATTGCTTACCCTATCCGGATAGACAGATATATATATATATACACTGTACTTTGGCACAATGGCTGAAAGTAATATTTATACTTTGCGAAAGTTAACATTTAGTCCGAAATTTCCTCGACAACATCTGGTAGAATTATATTGTTTGTGTTCTATTGTCATGTAAGCTCCACAGAGCCAATACCTTTCTGGAAAGTCTTCAACACGTCGATACTGTATTGGGAAACGTCATCCACAATTTACTAGACTAGAAAAACACATTTTGTTTTACGCGCCAATCAAGACCTGTGGCAGTTCATTTTCGTCCGAAAGCCGTAATGCCCCCTCCGCCTAAGGCATTTCTTGCTTGTAAGTCTGGCCCGCCATTCGTCCACTACTAGTAACGACCACGAATGGTTTTAACCTCCGACGAAATTTTTCTCAATTTAGCGAACAGCATCTTCGCAGGAACGCAATCGACCCATCTGACTTCCTAAGTAGCCCAACCCGCCTCCACTATATAGATCGATAGCCCCGGCTATAAAATCGCTATAGTGTTATAGGTTCCGAATAGCAGAATCACTGCGGTCCTCAACTCGGTGCCGATCAAGTTGGCAAATTGAAATGTACAGCGGTTAGACTACCTACAAACAATACCATTGAACATCATAGACAATCAAAAAGATCACGTCAATGTCGGCTAAGCCTAGATTTCTATGGCCAATAAATTTGTCTATAATTATTTATAGTAGTAAAGGTTTTACCTGATTAGCGTTGCTTTGCAATAGTTAGAAAAGCCGGACTTTTTAGTAGACAGTCACGCGTTTCGCATTGATTCGTTCAGGGAGTTCCTGATGAAACTATTTCGTTCGTCCATGTTGTCTGCCTCAGCTGGTAGCGACCTTCCAATGATTCAGCGAAAATCGACTTAATCATCATTTCGAATATTTTGCCGACGACCTGAGCTGGTTCGGTGGCTGGGCTGGCGTTGCTTATACAACAAGTAAAGCAGATCCGATCCCAGCTTCGTACTGGGCAGCGCTTTCAGTTTTTCGCTTGGATGGCTTACGACGTCCCGTCTAGTCGAACCTGGCGCCATTGTATCGTATCTAAAGCGGACACATGTAACACTATGTACACAAAGTTAGAAGACTATATGGCCCAGCCGCGCGGATCACGGAGCGGTAGAAAGTTAACGGAGCGGACGAAAACTGCCAAGTACTTAACGCTATTAATTTCGGCCTCTATGAAAAATTTTATTGTTACAACGAAGCCGATATTGATCTTCGGATGCCAATTCTTTTTTCTGATGGTGAGAGTTATAGACAGACTCAATAAGTGAGCCACTGCAGGCTGCACAGTGGTAAGTTAGAGCGAGTAGAAGTGTTTGAGGCTGGCTATGTTACTTATTTAGATGAGTGCTTTTTTTTTTGCCTATAACTTGTAAGTGGGAAAACTTGGCCAGCAGCATGTACAAGACTCGAATGTAAGCTGTGAATGGGTAAATTAAGTTGTCCCCGTTATAGTGCAATAGTAACTGTGTTGGCGTATTAAAATTAGGGACACGTGGCAACCCCGGCCCAATTTCGGACGTGCACATATTTCGTTTTATGCTGAAGTCTATCGTCTGAAACAACTCTGAACGACGATAGCAGATGTAGAACTCAAAACATTTATTCAAATACTGATTCGGGGTTTGATTGCGCGCATTGTTCGAAATGAACAGGATTGCCAACTGTAGCAATTTGTTCATATGGCAAATATTTATACTACTCGAGATGAACTTGGCGGATTATATAAGTTATTATTACTATACTACAATGGACAAAGGGTTTCGAACGGTGAGAAGGACTGGCGCTAATCAGCTTTACGCGACGCTAATGAAAAACAAAAATCACGTAGATGAGAGCTTAACGAGCGTGATCGAGTATATCTAGTATAATTTGAACAAGGTAAAGGGAGCTATGGTGGTAAAATTAGACCTTAGAACACTAGAGATTCTGAAGTGATGAACTGGTATTTTGCGGCACGGCTAAAGGTAATTTTAAACTTTTAGAATGAAGTAAAATACGTAAAATACGTATATTGACTAAACCTAACTGCAATATAAGATTGTATTAAAGACGATGCGTTTAGTTATGAAGCATTACCACACCGTCGTTGATCGAACATAAATAAATTGATTTACGATTCCATATACCTAACCAGATATAT